TACAGATACTACAGTTTATTAATCCATTCTTGGGTTGATGGGCATTTAGGTTATTTGTACACCTTGGTGACTATTAATTGAGCTGTGATAAACAATCTAGTGCAAATGTCCTTATGATAAATGATATTTTTTCTTCTGGGTAGATGCCTAGTAATGGGATTGTGGGATCAAATGGAAGGTCTATTTTGAGTTCTTTGAGGATTCTCCACACTTTTCTTCAAAGAGATTGTATTAGTTTGCAGTTACACCAATGGTGTAAAAGTGTTCCCTTCTCTCCACATCCATGGCAGAATCTGTAGCTTTGTGACTTTGGGGGCCATTCTCACAGGAGTGAGGTGATATCTCAGGGTGGTTTTGATTTGCATTCCTCTGATGATTAGGGATGGTGAGCTTGTTTTCATGTTTGTTAGGCACTGGTATATCTTCTTCAGTGAAAGTTCTGTTCATGTCTCTTGCCCAGTGAGACTGTTTGCTCTTTTTTGTTGATTAATTTCTCTGTAAATACTAGTTATCTTTGTAAGATTCGTAACATCCAAATATCTTTCCCATTCTGAAGATTATCTATTTGCTTTAATTATTGTGTCCTTAGCTGTGCAGATACTTTTCAGCTTAATTAAGAGAGATTTGTTTATTTTTGTTATTGTTGAAACCCTGAGTTACTTTATACGTGTATTACCTTTTAGTAGACTTCAGTTACACTGCCATTCCACCTGTCCTGTGAGAAGAACCTGATCCAGCACAAACGGCTAGTTTTAGCCAAACTACACTGAAGCTTAGAAGGTCTACTTTGACTTTTATCAGTCCCAAAGTGGGGAAAAAACTGACAACCAATGTTCAGTATTCACAATTATTTTCAACTTTTAATACTTCCTTTCATATCATCATACTAACATTCAAGCTGCATTTCCTAGATTCACTGTTCTATACTTATAACTGTGTCTTGAAGAAATGAATCCTAGTCTTAATATAAAATTTATATCATCTATATCATTTTCAGGACAAGTCATTATTTACTCCTCAATGATGCAATAAAATCAAATATCTTAATTCATGTTCTAAAAATCATTACATTAAAATATGGTGATTCTATCCAGTTGAGCCCATGGTAATATTTAACTATTTTCATGATAAATTCATAATTATGGTGAAAGAAAAAATATCATGAAATCAAAATTAAAAAATAAACCCCCAAATTTTGGGTTTGGGGGATTAGATGAAGAAAACATTAAATTCCTTGTTGCCTATAGATTTTAATAGTTAAAAGGGAGCTGGTTTATTCAAAAGTAGTGATTATATATTTTTGCATTTAACTGATAGCCTGAAAATATTATCTAAAAATTTTGTGATTGAGAGAAGTAAACTTTTGATTCAAAGGTGAAATATATGGTCCTTGCCCATAGAATAGAACATAATTTGGTACCTTATGCTATAGTTTGCTCGTTCCTTTATGATCACATGTAGAAACAATTATAGAAACATAATTTATGTTTCTTATATGATACTTATCTTATATAAGTGGTTGAGTATCTATGTACTTCTTTAAGGAATTAGTGAATAAGATCTAGTATTCAGTAGAAGAATGGGTGACTATAGTTAATGTATGATATGTACTAAAATAATTGAACATGGAATTGGAATGTCCCTAACATAAATAATAAATGCTTGGGATGACTGATACCTCAACTACCCTGATTTGTCATTATATACGGTGAGTATCAAAAATCCTATGCAGCTCATAAACTATTATATATCCATAATAAATAAAAATAAAATACTTTAAATAGTGGTAATGGTAGAAAACAGAAAAAAAATTATATTTCAAATAGTTGCCTATGGGATATCAATTTAAAAATATGTGGAGATAGAATATTTAATTTTGTTCTTTTAATTATTAAAATGGGCTAGGTTTCCTTAATTGGGAATCATTTGCCACGAAAATCATTATTTCCTTATGTTAGAAAAATCTGCTTATTTTCTGAGACTCCTTCTGTAGCTCGACCCCTACTCCCACCCCTGCCCATTCCATTCCCCCGATGTGCTCCCTCCACTCATAGTCATGGCCACATCTCCATCTAGTGGCCCTCTAATCAATGAATACCTGGAAACCATGAGGGAAGAACACAACACAGTTGTTCTCGTAATACAATCATGATTAGTCCAGAGCATCCAAAAAGAAATTACAAATGAGTAAACAGAACACTGAACACAAGTGCAGGCCCCAAAGCTCTATTTAGTAGAATTGATTATATAATTGAGAAATGTCTTAAAGGTTAATAAGTAATGATATTTTTGGCCTAGATGATGCATCTGATATTAAATAAAGTGAACTTAGAAATTGGAAGCACCTAAAATAAATGATTTCAATAAGAATATCAATATTTTGAGAGTAAAACGTCAATTAAACTGGATTTGTTTAAAAGAAAAGAAAAATCAGAATGGTTGAGCTGGAAGTCCTTACATAATGCCTGATAACACTGAAATAGTTTATTAATTTTATGTTAGCATCATTTAAGAATAAATTGAGATGACAAGCTCTAATAAATATTGTTAGGCTCTTTAATAAAAGTAAAATATCATGATGGCCTTATATCTCTCCACCACATTGACTTGTTTTTTACACAAACATCACATGAGAGAATAATTTTTCATTAAACATAGGAAACGGATATGTTCTGTTTAGGAGTATAAATTTACATACCGTTTTCTATCAGCTATTTACAAAACAACATTAGGACTGGAGATCTAATAACTTAGTTTCTGGCTATTTACTATTGTGGATTTAGGTATATGGGTTATTTTCTAAAATTTCAAGCCAAAAACAAAAACAAAGAAAAATGAGAGAAAGTGACTGACCATCCACACCACATGAAAACTTGCAGTAAAATGAAGATAGGAGCTGACATCATGGGACAGGCACGACTCGTTGTGCATATAACTTGATCCTATTAATAATGGGCAAAGTAGCAAGTACAGGAAAAGAAAGAAAACACAGAAAAGAAGACATACACGATGCGAGGTCATGCAGTTTGCCTGCAGTCAGCAGATAATGTGAGCCTCCATCCAGAGTAGATTCACAGCGACCATTGCGAATAGGCACTACCCAAATACTCTACTGCTGAGACCACAGCACACTGTCAGCACACCAAGCAACGGGGCCACACTTGTACTTTCACACACAACTCGATGTATATTTTATGGGAACTTGAATTGCTGGAACGTTTTGTCTTGGTCAAATCTTTATAATTCCTTGATCAAAATAGCCTCCCAAGATGATAATATTTTGGGTAATAGAGTTTTTATAACATTTTCAAACTCCTCTGAGTGGATTTAATCTTTCTGCTGTCAAAACTTGGTGACAAAGAGTTGATGAGTGAAGTTTCTCTAACGAGCAATACACCATTCTATGGGGAATAATTTGACATGGGTAAAATCTCCTGAAAGTGTGTAGGAAATAGACTCATAGGAAGAGTCCTCATATCTGAATTTTATATGTCTTACTAGATAAATTGAAAAAAAAAACAATTTAGTTGCAATTTTGAATTAATTATCCTATCAAAGCAATGATCAATTGTTGGGTGGCACCTGTGCCGGCCCCATAAACCGAGGGTGCCAGGTTCAAACCCGTCCCTGGCCAAACTGCAACCAAAAATTAGCTGGGTGTTGTGGCAGGCGCTTGTAGTCCCAGCTACTTGGGAGGCTGAGGCAAGAGAATCACGTAAGCCTAAGAGTTAGAGCTTGCTGTGAGCTGTATGATGCCACGGCACTCTACCCAGGGTGATAAAACGAGACTCTGTCTCTCCAAAAAAATAAATAAATAAAAAAGCCATGATCAATTGTCTTTACAGAGATAACTGAGATTACTGGGTTGGGCATTTTTAGCCCTGTTTCACACCACTGATTTTATTTGTTCTTTGTTCCATTTTAAATCTAGATTATCTAATTGTGTAATACATATCTGTGAGAATGTTTTATTCTTTCTGGCACAAATGTGGTTACATATTGGAATAGATAAACCTATTTTAAATAAATAAATGAATAAAACTGCACATTAATCAATAGATGTTCTTGTTTTTAGATGTAATTGTTTTTAGAATAAACAATAGATGTAATTGTTTTTAGAATAAACAATTTATGAGAAGATAATGCTCTATGTTTAAGGGGCTCGATGCTATGGACAAGACACTTCATGTAAAGGCACAACTTGAAGAATCAAAGAATTTGGAAATCTTATATTTAAAATCAGTAAAAAAAAAGTGGACATACTTTAATGTGGCCTTTATCTTTGAGAATAAAGTTTCTTCATCATTAAAATAATTTTAAAAGTATAAAGATGATTATATCCACAGTAAGTCAGAATACTGTTTATTAAAGATAGCTGTGGTATAGAAAAAGTAGTGGTCGTATTTAGATAACATACATTAAATCAGCTTTTTAACAGTTTATCAAATTAACTCTGTGTAACTGATCTAGTATAATTTCAAACAATAGAAAGAGAAATACCATTAAAGAATATAATACAAATCTAATATGTGATATGATCAGAAACCAGATCTATAAAATAATTGGACAATAGCTGTACAATAGATTTTTAAATATATAGATTTTAAAGACTAAGCATAAACTAATAAAAATATTATAATAAAAACAATATTCAGGCTTTAATATAAATGAATGGAGGCAACAGAAATACCACAAGGAACAGTCACTATGAATTATTACTTATTTGATGACTTTTTAAATCACCAGATTTCTGACTTGTATTATTCGTAAAGTGATTGAAATTGTGTTTGAAAGTACAATTTCTGTGGGAAGGACAGATAAAAGAAGCTGTTAAGTTTATGCTAACCGTGAAATGGAAAAAAAAATCTATCTACAAGCAAGTAGTTCATGCTAATGAGAAAAACTGTGGGTAATACATTATGTTGGAGTTAAAATTGCAGTCTGTAGTCTTAAATTCCTGTGTCCATGATCATTACTTTATAGCAAAAGTTTGGTCTTACCAAGACATTGTTATCAAAGCAGACGTCAGGCCCTTTTCTGTATCTGGGTTGCTTAACCATATCACAAGGATTTGGACCGTCAGCTAAAGAGGCTTGTTAAGGAATATGAAGTTCCTTCTTTTTTTTTTTTTCACACAATAAATATAATACAGTACAATGCAATATATTTATTTCCCCAAGCAAGTAAGAGATAGCTTTACCATGACTCCTGCTCAACCCAATTTAAGTACTTCAAGATTTAAGGAATCAAATTGTGAATTCCCCTTTTACTGGTGCCTGTGTAGTGTAATCAGTCTTCACATCCAAACCCAACTGAGGGTGAAGAATCCATTCTGCCTCTGTGAGGCGAGCAGGGCATTCTAACATTTTTCCCTTCACGAGCATAATCAATGTACCAAGGTTCAAAAGGCAGCACTTTCCCATGACTTTCGCTCCCAACACTTCTGCCGTGAAAGGATACAAGTCTGCTCCGCTTGTATGAGCAGTCGTGTGTCACAGGTACAAGTCCCTTTGCTTTCAACTATTATGAATACTAAGTTGGTGTTCATAATCTTTTCTACATGAAAGATTCTGCATAACAAACAATAGCAGAAAAAATGAAGAACGTCTCTTAAAAAAAGAATGGAAACCTTTCAAGGATTCTTACATATTAAAAGAAAAGATAAAATATGACATATTGAAATACAAACCATCACAACAGTAAATATGATTTTAGGGAAAAAAGATTAACATGTTTTTATTTATTAGCATGAACTTTATCTCAAATGAGTACTAAAACATTGCAATGGGAGTTCTTTGCAATATTCTAAGTGTTATCTTTTAAAAGCTTTAATCCTCAGTGCAAACAAGGTACCACTTAGTTGTTGAAACTTGAAGAAAAGTAGTTTCATTTTACACATTTAAAAAACTGTGGTATTTGTCACCACAATATGTCAAAGTTGTTTATTTCACTGATAAGAAAACAAGGAGGACAAAAAATATGGCCATGCCTCTTGCCCTACCTAAGGGCAAAACCCCAATCAGTGCTGGTCAACAAACTTTCTGTGAAAATGAAAATGCTTACTGCTCTGTCCACTGTGTCAAACACCAGCCACAGGAGGCTACATAGCCCTCGAGATGGGACACGCGTGACTGGTACCCCAAATTTTAATTTTAATTAATTTAAACAGCCACTTGTGGCTGTAACTAATACACTGGACAGCATGAATGTAGACAGATTTTAGGGTTCTAGATCCCCTCCTCTGTTATGGTCACACCATAAGCAAACAACTTTGAAAATGTAAATGTATCACTAAAAAGTACATTTGTTTAGCAAACAACATGAAAATGTAAATGTATCACTGAAAAGTAATTTGTTTACGATTATATATTTTTCAAAGAAGTGAGATTCCGTTTTCTTATTTTCTTTCTGCTTTATACAAATCTAGGCAACTATCGTTTAGTTTAATAGCTTGATTATACTTTTATTTTACGATTAACTTAGTTCTTTGAACACACATTGGTATTACTGGAGGCCAATTATTACAAGGCCAAAGAATTGTTAACTTTCTGCTGTATCCACTAAACATTTCCTGAAGTCTACAGACACCTGCTATGCTGCTCTCTAATAAGGTGGCCCGCTTTCCCTAGGGCATGCCTGACGCCTCCCATGTCTCTTCCTTTTCAAACCCTCTACCTCCACGTTGGACAGAGGCTTGCTGCAGCAAGTCATAAAACAGACTATCTGTGGCTGTTAAACCTTCATGGTTACTTCAGTTTAGCTGTTCTTGAAAAAAAGTTTTAAACCCTTAGACCACTTCTCTGAAGGCCCTAGTAACCCACTGTGCCCCCATTTTCACAATCTCAGATTACCCTACCTCCTCCTATTCCTCTCCTCTATGTTAACATCTCTTCTACAATAACCTGCCTTCTGGCTCTAAAAACAGTGTCCCAACACTGTGCTTTGTAAGCTGTGACTTGTTACTTTGTTCTCAGGGGTCCTGGGGTACAGTTCATCACTTTCTTCTCAAAACATCAAAAATCTCCAACTTGCCTTTCTCCTTCATCTCCTCATAACTAAATTAAATTCTCCAACTCTTCCCAAATTTTTCAAGATGTTTGATGGGTACTCACTAACACTGAACATGAGCTTGGAAAATGGTATTTTCTCACAGTTCTTTCAGTTCAGATTAAAGATAACGTTCTTCATGCCAGAAAAAACTAGAAGTAAAAACAAATAATCCCCCAAATACCTTTTTCAAAACTTACTTAGTTACCATACTTAAGTAGAAATCATATTTGGCTCTAATGACTTAGAATTTAGTAATATAATTAATCTTAATAATCATAAAATTTAATACTACAAAGTTTTTAATGTAGACTCTTTTAGATGAAAAATATATTAAAATGTCATATTTCTCTATATTCTGCCTAAAAGCGAAAGCAATTATCTTGATCATGTAATAATTATCACAGAAGGATTTACAAGTCATCAAAGTTAGAATTAATTTTAAACATTGTAAGTTTTAAAAGCCTAGAGAAAAACTGAAGACCTTTGACATTTCAACTCAAAGGAGTAATTCCTATCTTTGAGTCCAGCTACAATTTCCATAATTTTCTATAATAATTATAAAAGTGAATACAATTTCTTAGTGAAATAGAACTACTCCCGAAATAAAAAAGAAATTACCTGGAACAGTTTCCACAGTCTAACACACCACTGAATGATTTACTATCATTATCAAAGAAATATTGAGTCTGTTCAGTAATACAGCTCTGTTTTGACAGGGAGGTTGTAAAGTCATCATCTTCCATCTCGACTGTGGGGAGTTAAAACAATGATTACCATCACGAGCAGACACTGTAGCCAGTGGCCCCAAATCTTCCCTTCTTATGGAGCAAAATAAATGTGTAATGCCAAATGCCTTGATTGGCGTATTTACTGTTGTGTAATATCATGGCAGACTCTTCTAGGGGCCTGATAAATATCCACAGAATAAATTAATTCAAATACGTAACAGTTTCAAAGTAGAGGTCAATGTGACCAAGGAAAGTTTCTAAAACATTAGGAAAGATTTTGACCAAAAGAATTTCAACCCACATAAGTGTGAGATGTCTGATCTCTCTTTCCTCTTTCTCTGAGTTTATTAAACACAGCATATTCAAAAAGAAAATTTTAATTGTTATGGTGACAATGACAATATCTGAGCATTTACATACCTGCTTCAAGGAGTCTTGGAAAGGTCAAACTCAAGAGAAGCTGCTGTAGGATAGACCTGAATTTTTTAAAAAATGAATAAATTATAATAATCAAGAAAAATCCCAAGTAGTTTTGTCTCTGTACATATACATATGCATTTACATAAAATCATATTTACTTTTCATCTGTTTGGAAAAAATTGAGAGTTTGTTTATGGAAAGTTGAAGAGCATTTATAAGTATTTTTTTTTAATTACAGTAGAATCTCTGTAAGTTGACCATCCACCCAAGAGACAAACTGGTCAACATATAAAGGTGGTCAACGTAAGGAATTAGGCCTACTGTACTTATACATATGTGTGGTGCATGGCTGGTCTATGAAAATTAGGTCAGCTTAAGTAGGTGGTCAATGTAGGGAGGTGGTCAAGTATGGATAACATTTTTTAGTCTATAAAATGTCATGAAGTCAGCGTGTTCAGGTCACGTTCAGGACCAAGGGAGGAAGACAGAGGTGTGAAGAGGCCCAATACACCATGTGATGGTGCAGAGTGTTAACTGGAACAGGGGGAGTCACTATTGCAGGGAATAGGCTTTTAGGTTCATGATTTTTTCCTTCATTTTAGTTTTTAAACTTTGTTTTGAGGGTTATTTTTCCACCAAAACCAAACAAATATGACCCTGTTTATGCCACAGGACTGGACTGGTGAACTATTTGCTTTATGATATAGAATAAATTCATAAATATGACATTCATGAAATAAAATATACACATGATATATAGAGATATCACATATTTTGGTATTATAGTAAATGACAATTGAACCAAATAACACAGAATAGTCTAGAAATTTAGCTAAAAAAATGTAGAGGGGAGGGATATTTTGGCCATAAATTACAAAAAAAGATAAGAATTTTTCAAGATCACTCTGGGATTTAGAAACACTATTCAAATCAAAGTAAAAATGTCATCATTACATCAGAAAATAGTATTTTTGAGGAAAAGAAAGAATTTTTAAAATCCTGTATTTAAAATCTAAAAATAAATTTGAAAAATTCAAAAATCTAAATCATTCTACTTTAATAAAATGATATCATCATGTGATTTTAGCTGGGAAAACTTCAATATCAAATGAATATTACAGATTAATCTATAAGAAATCTAATCTATAACAGATTGATCTACAGGAACAATACAGTAGAATGATGATACCAAAAAAAAAAAAAAAAAATAGAAGGATAGGCAGGACAGAAGACAAGGAGGGACAGAAGGAGATAATGGATTTTAGATGTATAGGAGGTTTAGTTCCCAGGCTGACCAGAAGAAAACAGTGAGAAATCTGATCTTCCAGACTCTCCGCAGTGCCTCACTCAACCATCTAAATGTCTTATTTTCATAGGATGGTAGGGCACAGGTGGGGGATTAGGAAAGTATGGAGGATGGAAGCAATAAAAGAAAGAATTAGATCCATGTCAACAACATGATGCCTTTAAAACTATGCCAGGCCTTATTCTAACTGTAAAGAGTAGAAAGTTAAGTCATCATGCCCCACGAGTTTGATCAATGGAGACATCCAATTTGGATACTAAAGAGAATAAGTGGTAAATTTTATAGGTCAATACACCTAAAAGATGAGAAAGTAACATAGTATAAAGAAACAAGTATAAATGAAAAGAGTTATGAGATCCATAGTAACAAGAGGCCTCTAAAGATGATGACGTTTGCATGAGTATAACACCGTTCTCATATGAAAAAATTTAATAATGCTATAATGACCAATATGTGCTATAGAGAATGGAAGAAAGTAATTTCCCTAACAAGTAACATGTCCCTTAAACCATACTTTTATCAAATGCTTTGCTATTTCATAGAACTTTTCTTTCATCAGCAATAAAATTAAAATTTTCACTTACCAGGCAGCAGCAGTAGCCCACCAGCCAATCTGTAATATGTCTGTTATTGATGGCTATGAAATATAATGAAAAGTCATTACATTAGTCTATACTTGAGTATCCCACTGGGAGGAATGGATTTGATGGTGGGTATTTTACTGACCACATATGCTGAGCGATGTCCTGCTCCTTGTTTTGGGGCAGCCCCGGGCTCACATACTGACTGATAGTCATAAGATTTGTTAAAAGCATAAACTGATACATTCACCAGGTATCGCATCAAGCTTGGATCAATCTCTCCAAAAAATCTTCCAATCTGGTAAATAAAATAACAAAATGATGTTTCATATTTGTGTAAAAATGAACACCTGCATCTTGGGTAGAGAGAGTAAAGAGAATTAATATGAATAAACTATGAACTAAAGTCAGAAGCTTAAAACAAAAGCAAACAAGCATCCTGTATATGGCACTGTGAGAGCAGGTGTTCGCATTGCTCAGTGGCTCTGTATGATATTCTGTTTGGGGGAAGAAATGGGCCTAGATCACTAAGCATTAGGGCAGAATCAGATGCCTCCTGGAGGGGCATAACAGAGGGTGGAGAGTAGAGAAAGAGGAGATGTGGGTCACAGAATACAAAGCTGCAGTTATGGAGGACGAATAACTTTAGAGATGTAATGTATGAGAGAGGGCTACAGTTAAAAATACTACACTCTAGAAATTTGCTGAGAGTAGATTTTAGGTGTTCTTACCACCCAAAAAGGTTACTGCAAGATGATTGGCCTGACTATAGCAATCCTTTAATTATGTATATCAAAGTATCTTGTTGTGTACCTTAAATATATGCAATAAAAAACAAAAAACAACAAATGCCTCCTGGGAAAGTGAAAAGTACCACAAATAAGAGTGTAATGGACTAGAAAGAGAAAAGAAACTTGCAAGGGCTGTGAACTGGAGTAAGTCCCATTTTAAGGAGCAATCATGAGCTAATCAGCTCCAGTCTGTAAACATCGTCATACAGAAAAATAGGCCAGTGTTGAGAGATATTTTATTTTTTTAGGAAGAGAAGCCAAAATGTAGTTTCAGAAATGAAATTAGTTGGCATATACTTCAAATTTGTTTAAAACCTTGGGTGAATCAAATAGCCTATGTGCTGCTTATTTGCCAATTTGGCACTAGAAACCACAGAAGTTAACTAACCATGTATTAAATTAGACATCATCAACTGACAAATATTTAGGTGAAAAATTTCTAAATTGTAAAAATATTAAAAATAAGTTTATAACATGTTAAAATCCTTAACCATATGTCTCGATGGTAACTGTTAGTGCCAAAAGGTAAAATCAACTAAAAAATATAAATAAAAGCTATATTTAGCATGCGTTTCTTAATGGCTTACATGATCTTAACCATTTTAAAATTTACTTTATGACAAAACAACTCATCAATTTCTTTAATATTAAAAGGGGCTTTGTAATGTTGATCAGGGAAACACACTTTGGATAGCTTACTTCTCTCTCTCTTTAGGTACATACCTGATTAGTATAATCATCGTGATTTGCCATTAAAAGAAATCCACCATCATCTAGAATTACACAATCCATTACCTAGCAAAATAAAATAAACAGTTCACCCATTTTTAGGAAGGTTAAGAGGTTGTATTATCATTACTCCATTATATGTAGATAATTAGAATGACAAAAATAGGAGAAAAATTTAAATGTCTATATATTCAACATATATGGTCAGGAGATTCTGATGAAATAAATTAAGAGACATGCATATATTTATATCAAACTGCCAGGCTTGATAAGCCACCACCAACCATCAAATAGAGACCATCGATTCAGCCTGAATATACCTTAGGAACAAATCAGAAACATTCTTTTTATCACTTCCAGGTCATCTAAATGACTCAGGAAGTCAGATCGGACAGAACAAGATATCTAATAATGAAAAGGTATTTTATTATTTTCAACACATCTTAAGATTTTGACACAAAAAGATATCTTCAAATATATCATATTAGTAGCCATGCTGCACAAACAAAAAACAACAAAAGAAAAAAATTCTCTACTTCCCCCCCTCCCAAAAAACCCCTCAAGGAACATAAGACTATCACTATGTTATATTTTTACATTAGAAATATTTGGTTGCATATAATTAGAATTAAAAGCAAAATATAAAACAAACAAAAAAAACTCTGGCTGAGAAAAAAAATTGTAGTCACCCTGAAATATAGCATAAGTTCCCACCCAGATTAAAACATGTTTTAATGTATAAAAATCAATAAAATAATTTCTGATGAATGAAATAAATCCCAAACAAAAACCTAATTTTCCAAGTAGGAGTCATAATACACTGCATTTTCCCAATGTGGAGGTGACCTGCAAAATCCTTGCCTCCAAAAACAGCTGCTAGATAGTCCATGTGAAATAGAGAAGCTATAAAAGTAATTAAAATTATTGGCTTATAATTTCACAGAGGTAGGAGTAATAGAGATAACATAAAACTCTTGCATCCCTTGAAAATATACAGATACACATAAAAGGACTGGAAGAAAATAGCATAACTCATCATTCTTATTCCATTTTAGTAATAATTTATCCACTATCATTTTAGAGCATCTTCAACTTTTAAACAAAGTTCACATTTCCTTTTCCAATTTCTCAAACAGAAATGGAAGTAATATGAAACTATCTAAAACTCAAAAAATGAGAACCTTACAATAAATAATATAACTTCAGGGTTTAGTTCAAAAATTTTTCCTGTCACTATAAATTCAGTGTGAACAAATTTAGAGAAAAAACCAAAGATTAGGAAGATTGCATTGATAATCAATAAGAATGCTGTGGTTAGAAACCTTCTATTTAGAAATGTGGCTAAAGATAAATATGTACCAAAAAATCAAAATAATTGACACTAAAGAGAATGCCAGCCATATTTACACTATTTTTTACCTTCTTATGATATATGAAGATTTTTTAAGCTAGAAGCATTGAAAGTTAGGAATTAAAAGCATATAAATTCAAATTCATATCTATTGATTAGATCATATTTCAATTTTTTTAACATTTGTTTAAAAATACCTGTATCTTTTTAATCATTAGAGTCTTAGCATGAACACAAAAGAAAATATTATACTTAAAAGAAATGCAGAGTTTCTTACATCGCTATTTCTTTTGCAGTCACAAACTGGACCAACACACTGAAACACAGAAATGGAATTATCACCAAACATTTTTTTTAAAGTTGGATTTTAATTACACTAATTATTACCATGTTACAGTTAAAATTTCCGAATATTTTTGATCCTTCCTCATATTTCTAGTTAATGTAGCAAGTGGTTTTTCGATTTTGAACATTTACCTATATTAGGAATGGAAGAGGAGAGATTATAACTGATACCAGTGAAATACAAAACATCATCCATGAATACTATGAAAATCTCCACACATATAAACTGGAAAAGGTAGAAAAAAATGAAAAAAATTCTGGAAATACATACATCCCAAGACACAATCATAAATAAATAGAATTTCTGAACAAACCCATAATGAACAACGAAGTCCAAGAAGTAATAAATCTTCCAAATACATCATCAAAAAAGCCCCAGACAAGATATATTCATAGCCAAATTCCACAAAGAACTGGTACCCACACCACACAAATTATTCCAAACTGTGGAGAAAAAGGGAATCCTCCCCAACTCCTTCTATGAAGCCAGTATCATAATGATACAAAACCAGGAAAGCCATAACAAGAAAAGAAAACCATAAACCAATATCTCTTATGAATATAGATGCAAAAGTCCTCAATAAAATTCTAGCAAACCAAATTCAGCCACACATCAAACAAATAGTTCACTATGACTAAGCATGCTTAATCCCAGGAATGCATGGATGATTCAACACGTGAAAATCAATATATGATTCACCACATAAGCAGAAGCAAAGACAAAGACAATATGATCATTTCAATAGATGGAGAAAAAGCATTTGGCAATATCATCACCCTTTTGTGTAAAACCCTCAACAAACTAGGTATAGAAGAAACATATCTCTAATTTATAAAAGCCATATTTAACAAACCAATAGCCAACATCATTTGCTGTATGAACTGGAATGAGACAAGAGGTGCCCACTGTCAGCAGTTCTATTCAACACAGTGCTGAGAGCTAGAGCAATCAGGCAAGAGAAATAAATAAAAGGTATACAAATTGGAAAAGAGGAGGTCAAACTGTTTGTCCTCACTAATGACATGGTCTTGTATCCAGAAAACCCCAAAGACTCTGCTAAGAGGCTCCTGGAACTGACAGATAAATTTGGTGATGCTGTAGGCCACAAAAGCACTGTACATAACTCAGTAGTATATCTGCCAGTCAAGCTAAGAGTCACATCAGTAACTCAATACTGTTCACAATAGCTACAAAGAAAGGGGGAAAGATCCTTATAATAAGAACTATGAAATACTGAGGAAAGAAATTGCAGAGGAAATAAACAAGTGGAAAAACATATGCTCATGGATAGATAGAATCAATGTTACTAAAAGGTCCAAACTACCCAAAATGCTTTACAAATTCAATGCATTCCCCATCCAAATGTAAACATCATAATTCACAGATTTAGAAAAAATAATTCTATTCTTCATTTGGAACCAGACAAGAGCCCAGGTAGCCAAAGCAAACTTAAGTTTAAAGAACGAATGTGGAGGCATCACGTTACCTGACATAAACTACATTACAAAGCTAAAGAAACCAAAACCATATGGTTGGTATTGGTATAAAATAGAGTCACAGACCAAGGAAGCAGAACAGAGGATCCAGATTTAACACCATCCACATACAACCAACTGATCTTTGACAAAAAAACAATATACATGTACACTGGGGAAAAGAATTTAATAAATGGTGCTGAGAAAACTGGATAGCAGAAGAATAAAACAGGACACTACTCACAAAAATTAAAAGACTTAAGTGTCTGGCAAAAAGTCATAACAATTCTAGAGGAAAATATGGAAAAAACCTTCTAGATCCAAGCCTAGAGAATATTTTTTGAATAAGACCACTAAGGCAATCACAACAACAACAAAGATAAATGAATAAATAAATAAATAAATAGGTCTTGATTAAATTAAAAAGCTTCTGCAAAGATAAGGAAACAATCCATAGAGCAGACAGACAACTTCTTGAATGACAGAAGGTATTTGCAAGCTGTAAATCTGATGAAGGACTAATAATAATAATCTATAAAGAACCTAAGCAAATGAGTAAGAAAAAAGTCAATCCCATTAAAAGGTGGACAGAAGCTTTTAAAAAAGGAGACAGACAAATGATCAATATGCACACGAAAAAATGTTCAATGTCACTCATTACCAGGGAAATGCAAATTAAAAATACAATGAGATATCACCTATTTCCTATTAGAATGGTTTATCTTAAAAAGTCCAAAAATAATAGATGCTGGCATGGATGCAGAGAGAAAGGACACTTACACACTGTTGGTGGGACTACAAATTAGTTCACCCTCTATGAAAATAGAATGGAGGGTCCTCAAAGAGCTAAAAATAGATCTAGTATTTAATGTAGCAATCCCATTCCTGGGTATTTAACCAAAGGAAAACAGGTCTTTCTATTCAAAAGACAACCTGCACTCAAATGTTTATTGCAGCACAATTCACTATTGCAAAGATGTGGAATCAACCCAAGTGCCTATCAATTCATGAGTAAATTTTTAAAATGTGGTATATGTGTACCATGGAGTACTACTCAGCCATAGAAAAGGATGAATTAATTCCCTTTGCTGCAATTTGGAAGGAACTAGAGACTATTCTCGAAAGTGAAGTAAACAAATGCTACATGTACTCACTAATTAATTGTAACTAACTGATGAGGACACATGTGCGCAGAGGGAAGTAAAACTCAGTGGAAACCAAGCAGTGGAGAATAGGGGAGAAGGGAAGGACAAAAATGTACTGACTGTGTGCAATGAACCCAGTTCATTATAATGAACACTATTTGGGCAATGGGCACACCCTTAGTCAGGAATCAAGCATTACAAAAACAATCTATATGACAAAAAAAAAATGTATGTACCCACATAATATTTTGAAATTAAAAAAAATTCTTTTCAAATAATTTGTCTAACATAAAAATAAAATTAAATAATATAGCCCATCCCAACTTAAAATGAACAATTTCAATCTATAGATATCCAAACTAGCATTTTATACTATTAACCTTGAAATAATTTTTATTTTTATTATTTATTGACTAATCAAAAAACTTTGAAAATAACAATAATTAATAATTCTTTAATGTAGTATCACTGAGGAATTATTTTGTCACTATAAAGATCTTTTTTTTTTTCTTATTGAATTTTGAGAGTATTAAGTGTAGTGTAAGAATTTTTAAAAACCTATCTTACCGGATCCCTGGTTGTGGTTTTGGTGAAATTCTCTATCCAGGAATTTACATCAATTTTAATTCCAACAACTGAAAAAAAAAATCTGAATTAATTTAAAGGCATAATTGGATACAAGACAATATTTGCTATATGATAGTTCAGGTAATTAATTCAATAGCAAATAAATGTTAGATTGAATATAGTATTTATTTTATGATGTTTTTCTGTGGTCTTCAGTAAGAAGTAAAGCTATTACAAAAACTGAAATTCATATTCACTAAATAGTTTATCCAATAGCTACAACCTATTCACTAGTTTATCCAATAGCTGCAACCTAAAATAAAACATGAAGTATTCAAGTGGCAAATTTTAAGAGGCTTCCCGCACTTCACCAGTGCGTGCTGTAGGCACGTCAGAAACACTTGCTGAAAGAGTGAGTAAATGAATGGATGAGTGGGCAGGTGAGCGAGGAGGAGACAGGGTGATGAATGAGCAACTGTGTGAATGAAGGACAGATGAATGAGTTAGGGAGTGAATGAGAGGGAGTCCCTGGAGCAGAACCGCTGATAGGGAAACTGCCCTCAGGGCAGAAAGGCAATCTCTCTACTTTGTCCATCCGGCCCCTCTAATATATGCTTTCTTCAAACTTCAAATCATACTGAAATATACAACAAAACAAGCCACTAGAGTTACTTTATTATTTTTACCCACTCCAGCCCATTTTCATTATTATGTTTTGGGTGTTGATTATTTTACCAAAAGATTATTTTTCTATACATTTTACCAAAAGATTTTAATAGATATCCATCTAATTCTTTTACAACAACATACAGTAGTCTCAACTATGGATATGCCATAGTTTTTCTTTTCCTCCAATGAAGGAAACTTAACTTCTCATATTTAACTATTATGAGTATGCATATCCTTGGCCATTTTGTACGTGTTTGAAAGTAGCAGAGAATTCCACAGTGGGACTGTGGTATCTATCCACCATTTAAAATTTTGATATAGCACACTAAATTGATTCCATAAATTTGTGTCAGCATTGAATAAAATACCCACTCTTTAAAAAATTCCCCCACTCTATATAGTATTAATTTTGTTCTCCAATACCATAGATTACTAATTGTACTTAATTTGCTTGTCTTTGATTTTATTTTGTTTGAGGCTTTCTGACGATCTTCCTGATACACATTACCTGTATAAAACAAATGTGAGGTCACATTTAATTTTGGTTATGTTTATGTGTATAATATATATGCTTACCTGCAGGTTTAAGAAGTTTCCCTTGGATATATATTTCTACAGCTTTGCTTACCATAATGCCAGATTCATAGGCACCAGGTCCACTTTCTATAAGAAATGGGAAAAAAACCTATCTGGATAAATCAAATAATACTATTGAATTTCTTACAATAGATACAGATGCGTTTTGCTTAAAGATTGCCACATTTATAAACTGTAAAGAGGTGTGTTCTCTCCTTCCTCTCTTCTTCCTTTATGTATATAACAGGCTAACTGGAATGTCCAAGAATTGGTTTGTATTAATTGATTTAGGAACATTAGTTTGCTGTATCTACGAGTGCATTATTATGAATATGTGCCAAATCTCTACTTCAGAACATTTGCTAAAACACTGAAGAGGCTGCTGAATTAAAATAGAAAGATTAATCTTACATTATAAAATTGACTTTGTTTGTTCTAAGATATATATGTCCCTGAAAAAAGTCTAAAATTCTCTGAACTTCAGTTTTCTCATTAGTAAAAAGAGGTGTAAATAATACCTATGCTCAACAATCCCAAAAGATTAAATTAGAAATATCTGGGAAATAACCAATTAAATATTTTTAAAGGTGAGATATTAATGTTTACAAATATCATACAGATTATACAATTAAGGGTGATAAAATATAATTAATGAATTTACTTCACTCTAATCCAATAAACATTATTCATATGTTTTCAGTTGTACGATGAGGGATTATCCACATGTGCTTCTATTTATTGTACGTGCCTGCTAGATAACACTATCTCTAAATTATTGGATGTCTGCGGGCTACATATGCATTTTACCTCTTCAACTAATGGATGTTTCTTTTCCATTTTTCTAATGCCTTATGTATACTTTACTCTTGATAACAACTATTCTGAGCAGTTAATATAAAATATAGGGATTTGGCGGACAGCAGATAGTAGCAATAATTTATTTTGAATAAAGCTGAATTCCAAAGCAATACTTACTGTTAAAGTAGGGAGCAGTGAAAACATAGTTATCATTATCTAGGCTCCTTTTATAGAAGCTGTCCTCATACGTCTCTGGGTTTTCTTGCCAATTTTCTCCAGCTCTACGGAGGAAAGAGCTCATCATTTGTATTCTTTAATCTACCTGATAACCTATTTTTCTCTTTGTCCACATGGTAGGCATTATAGCTCTACATCTCAGGTATGTCTGAGGAAGCCAGTGGTAATTGACAGTGTAACTGATACGCACTACTAAGAAATGTATCAACATAGCATTATATTAAGAGTCAGAAAAAGTTGACTTCTAGTTTTACTCTGCTGTTGACTAGTCAAGTATATGGACAAGTAAATTAATAGATCAATTAATATTAGTAAGCCTGGTGTCGTCTGCTCAGCCTGCTTCACACACGGAGATAAGACGCATCAAAGAATAATGTTGTGCAACACATATTGCCACTAGGCTATAATCACTACATTAATACAGCTTGTGTTTACAAAGACAACAATCTCATTAAACACTTCTTGAATTTTGTAGTAAATTGAAGACTTCTATAATTTTCAGAGAAGTGGGATATTTTAGTCATACAAATACTTTAAGCAATGACTCCTTTAATCAATCAACAATGATCCATTTCTCTGAAGAATGGCTTATTTGTACAGTAATATAAAGATCCTTGGCATGGTTGTGTACTACAGTTATTTTTACAGATGTTATTTGAACTCACTCTTTAGGATAAACTCTGGTAATCCCACCATCAGTCACAACAAACCTTGCTTTTACTCCTTTGCTGGAATAGAAGATAAAAGAAAGAAATGTTTCGTTAAACTTAACTCTAAAATATTAAGTTAGGTGTTGGTAATACAGAATGAAATAAAAGAAATTCTTAAAGAAAGCCAAAGCAAATAGATCAATAGATGCACATGTTTTAATAATTGAAGTATCTAGGAACTAAGTACTTAAGGGAGGGTGCTGAAGGAAGGTATCTCATAGGAAATAGTGACCGAGCTGCATTTTGAAGATGGAAGAGAAGTTGACAGGATGACGAAGGAAGCAGGAAGCCATCACATACAGCAAAATGTATGAGGGAAAGCTGGTGAAGACGGCTGGTGTTTGGTGTAATAGAAGCAGAAGGGGAAAGGAGGGAAATAGGAAGTCAAGTTCAAGTTTCTTTAGAATGGTCAGTTCACAAATTATTTTGAATTGCATAGTAGGAATCTTGACCTATATCTTGAAATTAGAACAAATTGCAGAACACTCTGCCAAGGATGAATGGTATGGAGAACAGAATGGAAGCTGTGGGTAGAGGAATGGAAACCACCAAGGTCATAAAAGCCAGTTGTAACTGCTTAGAAATGGAATATTAGGACCATGATTAAGAAGAAGAGAGGAAAATATTGTGAGAAAAAATATTTAGCATTTAGTGATTGGAAAAGAGATTATTAAAAAGAATCATACTCAGATTTGCAATTTCCTAACTGGATAAATGATAGCGCTATTAGAAGGCCAACTATACATTCACTAAAAATCCTATTTTCCCACAAACACAGAAACACACAGCATGTTGTGTTTAACTTTGTTTATTCCCACTGACGTGTGTATATGTATAAAACTGAGTAATTGTTGATGTTAGTATTGAAATACCCCCACATCTGAAAATTCAAGCTGTCAACTCTTATAAAATGGTTTTCTTGAGAATTTATTATTAAAGATAAATAATAAACTTTAAATTTATGAGGTCCATTATCCAAAAATATCCCAGGGAGAAGCTAAACTAAAATGTAGGATATATATTTTTATTAATAAGAACAAATACTTACATATTTTTCTGCTTACTCCAGTAATTTTGGACGAGTTCGTTTGTAAAGCCTGCATCCAGCAAGATTCTATTAATCAAATCTGTGTTACCTAACATAGAAAAAGGATATCTTCAATTACACCCACATAGTTTTTAAATTATGAAGATAAGGGAAAAATATTTCCTAGTTCCAAAGGCAGTTTACAGTGGATAATATTTCTATGAATTTAAAACTATTTTCCATATTCACGTTCTCTGTGTTTTGTATATTGTTCATCTTGCCTCACATTTTTGAGGATACGGACTGGATTTGCTAATGCATAAGCCAACTAGAAACGAGGCAAATTAAAGTTTACAAAAAAAATACCTGAAATATGCCATGCTAAGAAATAATGAATAGTTTTCCTTTTCTGTTTTTTTTTCTTTCTGTAACTTGGTATAGTGATTTCAAACCATCGTAATTTCACGGACAGTTATATATACAGAGGGTGCCAAATATCAGAGCATTAGATAATCGTGGAGTAAATTTAAAGTTTTTTTGAGAAATTCAGTGCCACATTAAGAGTAGCAAGAATAGAATATCTGTCACAGACCAGCACTATTCCAAGATGGGTTTTGAAATCTACTGATACTGTTCAGAAAGCACAGGCTTTGGGTTGTCACTTCGGAAATATCTGATGTGCACAGTAGCCCAAGTTAAAGGATAATTGGGGGAATAGATAATGAAGATCAAAGTTCAATTAATGTACATTCTTAAACGAAAAACTTTGCCACCTTCCCTTTCTCCTGACTCCTCCACTCTAAGCCCGCAAAGCTCAAGATAACATGTAGGTACCCTGTGAGATTTCACATTTATGATAAAATTTCATTTTTTTCAGACAAATAACATATGGCCTTAGTTAGCTTACGAAGCAGTACAGTAGGTGGAAGGTCAGATAAGATAAGTTCGAAACATTTTCATTAGTTTTAAACTTTTTAATTGAATGTATCTTTTACCTGGGATTAGAGGATGAACTTAATATAAATTTTGAAATATATCACAAGTCATTCTTTAAACTATATTGAAATATTATTTTAGAAACTATTTTTTTTAAATAGTCCATTTGGAAAGTAAGTGATATATTTTAATGATCTCCAATCCTTTAGTTAAAACAAAATAAATAAGGCTATTGCTTTAATTTACAATATGAATCAAGGTTGCAAGTAAACATATAATTTCATTCATATATTCATTATGTTCCAAGCCTTAAATGTGTACTGAAATTTATTCCATGCAGCTGGCTACACAGAATGAACAGGTAATTAATATTAACCTTTACCATACACACTCCCACAAACATTTCTGAAATATTAAGTAAAGAATTGGGGAGATATGGAGAAGACAACCACTGTATATGATAAATATTGAGGAAATTATATACATGAACTTAAAGATTAGGTAATTAGAGAATTACAGTGTCACTCGCGGGCTAAGCACTTTCACAAAGCAAAATTAAACTTGACTGAACCCTTTAAGAAACTACTCATATCACAGCTTTCAATCACTGATATCTACTTTGAAAGTGAATTTTATTTATAAACATTAAAGATATAAACGACAAAACATCCATCATAGAACGTATCATATTGTTCTAGGAAAATACAAAGAACTTTTTATGGGCATTAGCTGGTTTAATAATTAAAAATATTATAAATTCTCAATTTTTCATACAGTATATAATCAATCAAGCAATTCCTACTGGATTATGGAGGAGGCAGATAAAAGACAAGGGGAAATGAAAGGAGAGACCGAAGAAGACACAATGGCAGTATGGACTGAACTGAAAGTATTTTATACTTCTCTAGGAACTTAAAGCAGTGAAAACAAAAGAATGATTATAATTTTCATTGTGATTTGAAGATTTATATATGTCAAGATAGGTATTTATGCTAAACTCATCCTTGCAAGGAGTATGAGTGCGTTAAATAATTTTGCTATCCAGTTAAAAAGCCTAACAATCATATCAACTCAGTGTTCTCTTGGGAATTCCTATTCCTTATTAATAGAAAATAACAATGACATAACAATGTATGTATGTATCACTTTGGCAGCAATACACTAAAATTGGAATGATACAGAGAAGATTAACATGGCCCCTATGCAAATTGATCATGCAAATTCATGAAGTGTGCCATATTTTTCACTGCTGGTGGGACTGCAAACTAGTACAACATTTTTGGAAGGCAGTATGGAGAACCCTCAAGAACTCAAACTAGACTTCCCATTTGATCCTGCAGTCCCATTACTGGGCATCTACACAGAAGGAAAAAAAAAATCCTTTTACCATAAGGACACTTGCACTAGACTGTTTATTATAGCTCAATTTACAATTGCCAAAATGTGGAAACAGCCTAAATGCCCACCAACCCAGGAATGGATTAACAAGCTGTGGTATATGTATACCATGGAATACTACTCAGCCACTAAAAAAGACAGAGATTTTACATCTTTTGTATTAACCTGGATGGAAGTCAACACATTATTCTTAGCAAAGCATCACAAGAATGGAGAAACAAGAATCCTATGTACTTGATTCTGATATGAGAGCAATTAATGACCTAGTACATGGTGGGGGGTGGGGGCTGGGGAGAGCAGAGAAAGGGAAGGAGGGAAGGAGTGGGGCCATTATGGGGGGTGGTACACCTTTTGGGGGCAGAACACTATTATGGGAGAGTCTTTATCTGACACAAGCAATCAGTGTAACCTGGTTCTTTGTACCCTCAATGAATCCCCAACAATTAAAAAAAAAAACAAAAACAAAAAACATTTAGAAGGCTGTGGCTCAGTCCCAGTGAATTCACAGTGAGTTGATTGGTTTGAAATCCTCATGTGTAGGCATGATCAGTATAGACTTCAGACGCCTGTGACAGGTTTCCGAGAGGCACTTTGAAGTGACTAGCTAATACAAGCTGAAGTGGAGGTGCTCTCCACATAGTGGTCACTTGAAATTTAAGCAACAGCTTTATGACAAAGGGGGTTTCATTTTTTGATAACTGATAAAGTACTTTGTTTAGCTCTCCTGATAGAAAGAGAAATATTTATTTAAAATTAAAAAAAGAAAGGAGGAGAAGGAAGAGAAAAAGACACAGACAGAGAGAGGGATAGACTGGAGAAAAATTTGTAAAGAGAGCAGAGAGAATAAAAAAGACAATTATATGGTTATTCGTTTTTCAAATTATATTCACTAAGTTAATTCTGCCATTAATTTCACTTTCCTTTCTTTTTCCTACTTGCACTGCACTTGTTTCTGATAGCACTTTTATAAAATAAGGCATTTTTTAGAAGAAAAAAATAGAGTTTGAAATGTTTTAAAAGCCAAGAATCTATAAATCTCTACGAAATCTCACAGTATCAATGATACAAATTTATGAACAACAACTATAATGGTTAAAAACTAATTCTTAAAATACCTGTTATCTACTTCAAACTGTCTTACTTCATAAAATGGGAAATTACAGAAGCATATTTATTTATTTATTTTTTTTGAGACAGAGACTCAAGCTGTCACCCTGCATAGAGTGCCATAGCATCACAGCTCACAGCAACCTCCAACTCCTGGGCTCAAGCAATTCTCTTGCCTCCAGCTCCCAAGTAGCTGGGACTACAGGCACCTGCCAGAATGCCCAGCTATTTTTTGGTTGCAGCCATCATTGTTGTTTGATGGACCTGGGCTGGATTCGAACCCACCAACTCAGGTATTTGTGGCTGGAGCCTTAGCTGCTTGATCCACAGGTGCTGAGCCAGAAGCATATTATTTTTAAACCATGAAGTTAACTGTGATTAAAAGAGAATGTCAGGAAGAAAGAAAATCAATGTATACTTTATTTTTTATTTTTCCCATATTAAAACTCATCATGTAAATTGAAGGATATAAATACATTCATCAAAATGAGTTATGTTTTCCTGTATATAACAGGAGCAAGGCAATGGAAAATCCTTAAATGGTCATTTAAAATTAAATTTCTGTATCTCAAGAATGGAAGAAAAAGTATCCAATGTACTCAGCCCTATTATGAAACTAATTATAGTCTAAGAATATGGGGAGGGAGGAGAAGGAGGGAGGGTGGTGGATTGGTGGAGGGAGAGTGATTGGGTGGGATCACCTCTATGGTTTATCTTACAAGGGTACAAGTGAATCTTTCTAAAAGTAGAATATAAACATTTTAACACAATAACTAAGAAAATGATATGAAGCCTATGTTAACCAGTTTGATGAAAATATTTCCAATTGTATATGAAAACACCACTCTGTACTCCATGATTGCATTAATGTACACAGAAATGATTTAATAGAAAAAAATGAATAAAATTAAATTTCCTAAATTTGACAGGAACTCTGGTGAACGTACTGTATTTACATTTTAACCATTTGCAATTCTCTATTACTTTGCTTTGAAAATTTGATTTCTTTTAATAATGAAATGGTATTCTTTAATATATAAAATTTTACAAATCTATAAAGTAAATAAATAAACCAGGACACCAACCAATAAATATGATTATCATACATATAACATGAATCAAGATTTGACCACTTTAAATATAATCACACTGAAACAATTATTGCAAATTAATGCATACTTACAGGATGGGTTGTTTGGAGTTTTTCTATCAATAAACTCATTGAAATTCAAAAGAAATTCAGTGTTATTATCTGATATTTTAAGATCACTGCAGTAATCTCTGAAAAAGAGATATTTGGGAATATTAGAAATTAAAATCAAAATTAAAAGTAGTGAAAATACTTTTATTAGCTATATGACTTTTGCTCTATAAATGGAATGATATTCTGTCAGTAAGTGATGGGGATTAAAGATGCTACATATTAAAAAGTCAGCTTCTGGACCATTGGCACTCAAAATATTTTTGTTTTGTTTTATATTTGTATCATTGCATTTCTCATATAAAAATTAAAATAGAAATCTTAAAACATTTATTTTAAAATGTTTATTAAACATTAACATATTTTTATGAGAAATCACTGTATTTAAAATAATGGGAAAAGTGGCATTATTTTACATACTTGCAACAATGTTTAATTTCTGACTTAATAGAGGAAAAGTATACCTCCGCATTCAATGATTACAAGATTTTGTTTGGTACCTTAAAAAAAAAAAATGTCCTCACAGAGACAAGTACATGGAAAAGGGAGGAATATTTTAATAGTTTTTCAGATATTTTGATAATATACTCAAACTTGATTACTTGTAATTTATTGAGAATGTTAATAAACTTTTTTGTAGTCTTTTACATCAATTCAATATTCTGTCTTACATTTTGAATGAATCTTCTAAGTATCCATAATTTTGTACCATCATCAATTTATTTGGAAAATAAGAGTTATATAAAACTTCAAAATGATGACACAATTTATTATCTGATATAGAAAAGTTACATTCATTAATCTCTCTGCTGACTTCATAAGATAAGCCTGCAAGTATTAGGAAGCTGCCATGCTCATAGTAGTATAAACAACCTTCCCAAAATTCTAATTTTTCTTTCAAAGCTCAGATTTTGCTATTGGTTAAAAAATACTCTTAGCTATTTCCTTCAAAGTAAAAAGAAATCATGATTCATTTTTGAGAAAAATGTTGAATACCCAAATCTGAAATACCATAGTTCATCTGAATGAGTTTACTTGTTCTTTCAAACGAAATAATATCTCATTTCAAAAACAGCAAAATATCTAGTTCACCTCTCAGCTCAATCACACAAATACTTTTCTTTGAGATATTCAAGTTATTCTGCAATGTGGTAGCACTTCAAGTTTTCTTACACATAACATTAAAGTACATACTCAGGAGGCCAGGTGTGGTGGCTCATGCCTGTAATCCTAGTACTCTGGGAGGCTGAGGCAGGCAGATTACCTGAGCTCACAGGTTCAAGACAAGCCTGAGCCAGAGTAAGACCTCATCTCTAAAAATAGCCATGCATTGTGGTGGGCGCCTGTAGTCCCAGGTACTTGGGCACTGAGGCAAGAGAATTGCTTAAGTCCAAGAGTTTGAGGTTGCTGTGAGCTGTGATGCCACAGCACTCAACGAAAGCAACAAAGCCAAACTCTGTCTTAAAAAAAAGAAGAAGACGACATACTCAAGGAGAAAGCTTCAATAACATGAATAATTCTTGCTGTTTCAATCAATTGTGTTTTCCCTCATGTGGGGCCTGGCAGTGAAGATTGCAATGGCTATCAGTGTTATAGTGTTCTGTTCATGCTAAGCTTACCAGCCTACCATTGCTTTTGTACTGTCAGTGACTGCAAAGTTGAATGAATACAATGAAAAAAAAAACAAAAACAAAAACCAAAAAACAGCATTTGCTTTTTTTTTTTGCAGTTTTTGGCTGGGGCTGGGTTTGAACCCACCACCTCTGGCATACGGGGCCAGTGCCCTACTCCTTTGAGCCACAGGCACCACCCAGCATTTGCTATTGTTAAGAAAATAGCTTTGACCCTCTGGGTCTCCTGAAGAGTGTCCCTAACATGAGTACTTCAAGCCCCAGTGTTTTAGAAATTCAGAATTAATATATGGCAATTTAAAGAAAAGAAGCTGACAATCAAAATAACTAAGTTAAGACAACTGACAGATTGAACAATTAAATATTCAAGACCAAATATGATTAAATAATAAAAATTTTCATATGCAAAGCCATGACCTACACACAAAGCCTCAAAGTGTAAAGAGAAACAGACTGTCAGACTTCAAAACCACAAAGTTTTCAGTTCATGAAAAAGTTTAGCTTACAGGCAAGGTTTAAAAAGTTTACACAACAGACTCATTTAATTCTTCACGGAGCTGCATTTGACCTCCCCCCATAATGCTATGTAATTTTAGAAATAACACTAGGCTGAGTCAAAAGCCAAATATATTGTATTATGAGCTCATAGGATGAGCAGCTGACTGGAAGATTTTAGGACTGAAGAAAATATCAGAAATAATTCTTAATAAAACCATTTTTAAAATATCACAACTATCTTTGTTCATTTAATCTAAAAATAACATTATCAAAAGGTATTTAAGTTTTAAAGATGATAAACTCAGATTTAAATACTTGAAAAGTTTTCTCCAAAGGCACCTAACTAATAAAGCCTCCAATCTGAGGCTAAGCCCTCTCGCCAGATCTATAGTGAACATATATGAATCCTACAAGGTGCTTTGAACTTTCACTTTGTGGATTTATTTTTATTAAATCATAACTGTGTACATTTATGGGGTACAGTGTGCTAATCGAAATACAATGGGGAATGCTTGACATCAAATTGATGACCATAACCATCGCCTCACTTATTCGTTGTGGTCAGACATTTATACTCTACTCTTAATAGATTTGAAATGTGCCATTGCATTGTGAACTTTTATTGACAGAAAACTTCCAGCCAAAACCAACTTTGACCTCTACCCATAGAAGGCTTGAGGACTGTGAGCAGCCAATTTTGACATTGTGTTGTTTTTAATTTTTGCTGCCCAAGTTATGCTCCATTTTAAAGTAATCTAAAGATATTTGTCTTCTGATATTTACTAATGGTAAAAGCTTAGAAATGTTTCACTTACGAGTAAGAGAAATTTTGAATTGAGATGGAAAATTAAGTAGAAATCATTTAAATGTGAGAGAATGCTGAATGCTGCTTTAGTGTACAGAGTTCTCCAGTGACAAGGATGATCTTCTAGGCTCAAGTGATCCTCCTGCCTCAGCCTCCCAAGTACCTGGCACTACAGGTGCCTGCCACTATGCCCAAGTAATTTTTCTACTTTTTGTCGAGACAGGGTCTAACTCTTGCTCAGAGTGGTCTCGAACTCCTGAACTCAAGCAATCCTTCTGCTTTGGCGTTCCAAGCGCTAAGATTAGAGGTGTGAACTGTGCCTGGCCTTGCCTGCCTCCTGAAGGCAGGGATCATGCTCCACACATCTATATTCTCAACATTTGTCCTTCTGTAGTAGTTTTAGACTTTAAAGCTACTACATATGCTGATTATTAATCAGGATCAAATAGTTTAATCCATTTAGGAATTAACAAAAATAGTCTTATTAAAATTTATAATCTGTTTTTTAAAAACTATTTTAAAATAACTGCTTTTTCATACCCTTTATTATGGAACACTCCGCCTACTACTATTACTTTCTCCCCCTGAAACTATAAATAATAACTAATATTTAGAGCTGATCACTTACTAGCAGCTATGGCAAATATTTTCTATGCATTACTTCATCAAAGTTTACAGGAAATCTATAAGCTAGGTATTATTATTTGGCAGATAAATAAATTACAGAGAATTTAAGTAACAGAGTCATGACAATGAAGATCTAGGAAACAGACCAATGTGGTCTTGCTCTAGAGTTCACTACATTGTTTAATAACAGTGACTAAAAAGAATATATACTGCAGGTCTATACACAAATTTCTGTCTTTTCTCACTTTATTTCCTACACTTTTTGAACACATACTGAATAGTCCATTTTTTCCAGGAAGACGTCCCTATACAAATAACTTACTCAGATGTACCAGGGGTTCTTTTGGGAATGCCCTTAACATGTACATATTCCAACCACAGCAGCAAGGATGTTGTTGCAAATCTCATCTTATTTAGCATCTTTACAAGAGAAATTGAGTGGGAAGGGAGGGGAGGGGGAGGTTTGACACAGGGAGAGCAAACAGTGGAACCACACCTATGGAGCATATTGCAAGGGTACAAGTCAAATCTATCAAATATAGAACACAAATGTCTTAACACAATAATCAAGTAAATGAGGTGAAAGCTATATTAATTAGTTTGATGTAAGCACTCCAAATTGTATAAAAAAACAGTACATTGTACCCCACATATGCATAAATGTATTCATGATCTATGTGTATATGACTTAATTAAAAAAAAAAAACTGTTTTGGGTGGCACCTGTGGCTCAAAAAGGTAGGGCACTGGCCTCATATGCCAGAGGTGGCGGGTTCAAACCCAGCCCTGGTTAAAAAAAAAGACTAAAAAAATCCTGTTTCCTAATCCATTAAATGGGATAAAAATACTAATTTGTTATAATAGAGTGGTTTTGAGCAGTAAGTATAACCAAGCATGTAAAGGGTTTGACATGTATCAGTTAAGGTAGACAATTACTGGTTTGTTCCATAAGCTACATGTCCGCCCCTCTCTTCTGGTATTACCCCTCCCCTGAACACATAGGCAAATTCCAGTCTTTTAGTGAGATGTATTGATATTGTTAATTCATAAAACAAGTTCTGATACATGCTACAACATGGATGAACCTTGAAAATATTATGCTAAATACAATAAGCCAGAAGCAAAAGTCACATCTGACTCCATTCATCATATGACATGTCCAGAATAAGCATAGCCAGAAAGACAGAAAGGAGATTAGACATTGCTGAGGGCGGGGGTGGGGGAGAAGGAAGATGGGGAGGCAACAAGAGAGGTTTCTCTTTTTGGCAATGAAAAGGTTCAAAAATTAATTGTGATGTAATACATGTGAACAAACTAAAAAAAAACCAACAACTTTGAATTGTAAAAACAAACAAAAAAAGGAATGTGGAATATGACTGAGTCCACAGCTAATACCTGCGAGACTAAACAAAATCCGTGGCCCATGAATTAGGTATTGGAACTGAGAGAGAGCTTTATCCTCTCCGTGATGCCTGACGTCACCCTGTTTTCAGCTTTGTCTTACAGCAAAGCTGATGAAGTTAATCTGCATAGTCTGGACTTAATAAGTGATAGAGATGACGAGAGAAAAACACAGATTTGAGAAGGTGAGTCTTGCCTCCAAAGATTAATTTCAACCTCTTCTTATATATTTGCTATGTTAATATTCTGTGGGACACTTTGTGGAATCTATAGTTTCTCAGAACAGCTTCTAGTAACTTAAAGTTGCTCAAAGTTACTGTGTCCATAAAGTCTATTAGGATTGAAGATATTATTAATAATAGCATGCATTTTTTGTTGTTGTTTCTGTGGCATCACAGCTCACAGCAAATTCAAACTTTTGGGCTTAAGCAATTCTCCTGCCTCAGCCTCTGAAGTTGCTGGGATTACAGGCACCCACCACAATGCCCTGCTGGTTTTTTTTTACAGTAGTTGTTGCAGTTGTCATTGTTGGTTAGCAGGCCTAGGCTGGGCTTGAACCTGCCAGCCTGGGTATATGTGGCTGTGCTGTAACCACTGTGCTACAGATGCAGAGCCAATAGCATGCATTTAAAAAATATTTATTATACATTTATAGTTTCTCAAGTTGTACCTGCTATGTGCTAGTAATGGATTTGATATTGGATATTAAATGGTAAGTCAAATTGACCCAGTTGTGGCTCTCTTGAAGAAAATAAATAAAATATATTTATGGCTGGTGCTCTGGTAAGAGAAATATGGAATTCTGTGAAGCCATCAGTAGGATGCAGAATCCAGTGAAGATGGGAAAGAAATTCCCAGATCAAGGAGCTTCAAAGTTGGAATTTGGGAGAAAGTAGGGTATGTGTGTGTGTGTGTGTGTGTGTGTATATATATATATATATATATATATATATATATACAGTCCAAGAGAAAAGGGAATTAGTGGCAGAAAGAAGGTAAAGAAAAACAAAACAAAACAAAACAAAAAAGTGTATTAAGGGACCGAGAGATATTAATGTGGCTGGAATCTCAAGCAGGAGCTGGGAACATAAAAGGCCGTGTGTTAAGTGATCTGAGCTCTGTGGCCGTAAAGTCTATGCCACAACCACTCTATTCTGCCTGTTTAATGAAAGCAGCCACAGACAACTCACAGGCGGATGAGCAGCACTGTGCTCCCATGAAACTTGCAACTTGATGGTCCCTCATTTTGAGTATGGGGAGCCACCTTGATACCCCAGGACCTGGTGACAGAACATTGGAACACTATGATATAAAAGCACAGATTATCCTAAAGATCATATAGATCCACTGGTTAGTACTTAGCAGATGAGAAGAATGACTTTTTTCACATTTTAGAAACTCTCTCTGGCTACAGAACGGAGACAGGATTGGGAAATAAGGAGGAAATAGGAAAGTGAGGAGATCCATTAGGACGCAGCCGCAGGAGTTTTAGTAAGAGAAGGCAGTGGCCCAGCTGGGTCAAAGGCGGCTGACAGTGATAGACATACCTGATAGTCCTAAGACAGAAATGGCCAGACTTGATGCCTGATTAGAAGTTAGATACAGGGAAAGGGCTGCCTGGGCAAAGACAACTAAAGGTCTCAAGATTGCACAATGGGCGGAAGGTATTTTCTTCACCAAAGCAACACAGGAAAAAGAGCTTTCCAAAAGGGACAAATATTTTCAAGATACTGAATTTGCAGGATACTGAAGCAGTATTCCCGTCAAGTTTTTGTAAGATATGAGTATTTCCCATTTAGACTATGTAGGGGCATAAAATCTAGAAATAGGTATACTATTTGATCCCATATTATAATGTAACATCAATAACCCATTCATGTGTTTGTTTGTTTGTTTGTTTGTTTCTAGAGGTTATGGCCATCACATAGATTTGGGAGCTGTACCCCCAACCTGGAGGCAGGGAGTAGATGGCTAGTATGTGCTATGACAAGAGCCTCAGATAAAAGGGGTGAGGGCCTGGGCTAGCTCCCTTTGCTGATCCTCATGCACGTGATCAGCATGTGAGAGAGACTGTGACTATGCAGCCAGCGAGCAGTAAGAAATCAGAAGAGTGTGTCATCCAAAGCGTGGGAAGAGAGGGCATGATCAGCAGTGTCAAACTCTTTAATGAAAATTCAAGCAAGAGAAGATTCTCAAAGGTAGAGTCGCTCCCAAAGCCAAAAATACACTTTTTTAATAGAGATTTCTCAAAAAGTTTTATTTTTCAAGTAGAAACAGAATTCAGAAATTTCCTGATGCACAAATAAAAGAATAATAAGGAAGAAATTTTATAAGTTTTCTTTGGGTTCTTGGAGTAATTGCGTAAGTGTGAAACATTAATAATCTAAGCTTCTGTAGCTCTTGTGTTTTAATAACTAAGCCTAGACTAATAAGAATTACGTTAATTTGAATGTTATATATGTCTGCTATAGAGCAGGCATCAAAAATTGAGGAAAGAAATAAAAATGAAGAACCCTCTTGGATTGTGGGATAGTTTCACACATTTACAAGAAAATAGAGGTAGGAATAAAAGATGTATAGGGAAGGGGGATTATATGAGAGTTAAAAGAAAATTGAACAGGAGGAAAAAATAATGATCATCTCAAAAAATACTTGAGGCAATATCATTACAAACATGTTTTCCCAGAAAGTTGTGTTAGATTAACCAGAAATCCATTATGATGGTGAAACATTCTACCAAACGCTTGTATATATCCATGTATATTTACGTACCTATCTCTGTGAAGCACATACACATTTTTGTGTTTCTTCTTGTACACTCACAGGTGCAAATACACAATTCTCCATTATTGTTGGATGCACTGACCATTCCACATGAACCAAGCCTGTGTCTGTCTTACTCACTGCTGTGTCCCCGAATCAGCACACAACTTAGTACGTGGTAATTGCTCAGTAAGAATTTGAACAAGTAAATGAATAAATAAATGAGATTCTATTTCGGTTTTAAAATTATTTTTCCCTTTGGTTTTATAATGTGACAGAGTAGTTTTGGTCCAGTTCAGAACCACCGTCAAAGGCCTAGCTACCCACGGATGACAAGTTACATAAAAGAGAAAAGCAAAACCAACCTTGGTGCTATAAATGTATAGCCAGATTCTTCAAAATTATCTGGCTTCAGGGTTTCTGAATCTGCAAAGATAATGTTACAGGATAAATAATTAGATACGCAATTCAGAGTATACCTCTCAAGGTTCTAGGACAGTAAGAAGACATTAAAAAGATTACCTACAAAGAAAATTAAAAATACACTACACATCCTAAAATTCGAACACATCAATGAATATAAAGGTCTTCAATGCTTCCTAATGCAATAATGAAATTCCAACTTAAATTATAGCAATGATATCACAGAAAATATTATGTCTATAATTTCCCCATTTGCTAACCCTACCATAACCAAATAGCTTCTAGAAGGATATTAATACAAACCCTATATCAGAAATATTTGATTGAAAATGTTAATGTAAAAATTTTTACCAATATTACAATAAAATGATTTTAATAAGTCATTAATGCCTTTAGTGAATTAATAACATTCTTCATATGAGGTATGAATTAGTAGGTAGAAGAATAAAAAACCAATTAAGTCTAGGAAAAACCTTGAATGTCACCAGGCTGCATGTGAAAACACAAGCAGATTTCTTCCCTCTCTTTTGCAGCTATGATTTGAGTGACCATGGAGGAAAATTTAGCAAATGAGAAGCACAAAGGATAATACCCAATAGGAATGAAAATATCAGTGGAGATGTCAAGTGTACTAAATAGAAAGAAATTGAGCAACAAGAAAATACTTGCCCTTCATTTTGCCCTTTTTTGCTGTGAAAATCCATCAGAAAGAGAAAGCAGGGAAACAAAAAAAAAGAGGGTAAAGCAAAGGGGGTCACAAACAATATTTTATTCAATGACTTTCTTGAATAAAAATATTGTGCATAGATCAAAGGTTCATTTATGTACAGCTGTAGTCTGGAAAAAAAGACATATTTGTTTGAAGACTGGAAAAGTCTGTTCTATCAATTATGACTAGATATTATGACGGATTTCCCTCCCTGTGCTATGGTTGTTTCAATGGTCTGTTTTGCAAAGTGGTTAATGCAGGTGCGATACCAATGACGTCAGCCTATAAACAGAAGCATTTACCAATCATCAAAGACTCACTAGTTAGCCCCTCTTTTATAAAGTGAAGAACTAGCTCATGCAGATCGGCTGGTTGTTAAAGGACCATCATATCTGTCAGGTAAAAGTGGAAATAGGAATGTCCTGTGTATAGTGTCCTATGAACACCAGGCCTGTGGACAGCAAAAAAGAACTGACAGAGAAATGAAAGAAACCATAGTTTCCTTGAAGGTCAGATATAAAAGATACATACATGTATTTGTATTTTTTGCTTTTTGCTTCATCCTAACAAAATATTTTTAGGTTGTTACCAATAATTGAGCAATCAGCAAATGATATGATGGTCATTTTACTTTACAAAATCCAGTTACCCAAAACAAAACAAAAAGTAACAATGACTTGAAATATGCACTAGTGTTAAGAATTGCTCTACATTCCAAATGATGCTCAAAAAAAAAAAAAAATACACTAATCCATTTGCATTACTGAGACATTAATTTGAATTATGAAAAGGAAGTTAATTGCCAAACCAAAGCCAAAGACCAGAGCAATTTAATTTAGTCAAAGAAAGGAAAAGATGTGGACGATGTAAAGCACAATATTATTCTGGCCAAATGCAAAAACAAAAAAAAAAACAACCAAAAACGGAAAAGCCTTACTAGCACAGTGCCATGAGAGGAGAGACTATGCTGATACTTAGCGTGTGAAACATTCTGCTCCAGCTAGCAGACCCTTGGAGACAGCAACAGAGGACACACCACTGCAATGATTCTATGAGCACATAGCAAGGCAGGGGAGGGTGGTGGGGACTGCCAGTGAGACTGGAGTACCTGCTCATATTCTATCCAGGTAGAATATTTCTTGTTCCTTGCATGTTTGGAATGGGTTAGAATCATTGCTGTAGATTTGGTAGTAACAGCTACTAAAATGTATATATAATAAGCCTTGGGTATTTCAAAATCTGGACGTAATTAACCATCTGATACTAGCAAATGACAAAGAGACCCTGCAGTCACTTTCACAGTACTTACATCTGGCCTGAGTTATTGTCTCTTCTATTTTGGCTTTTATATAGTAAAAACTGTAGGTTGGTAATACCAAGGCCAAACTGCAACAGAAACAAGAGAAGCATAAACACAAACAAACAAAAATGAAACGTAAAAAAAAAGACACTTCAAATTCATGGGAAAATCCAAAGATCTTCCTCGCGGGAAGGAAAAGACATATTACTTTGACATGAAAATGCATTCGGCAAATAGAGTATTTAATTTCTGTCTTGCCATCCAGAGTCATCCAGCAATCTTCATTGCAGGGAATCCGAAGAGGCTGTAAGGTACTAAATGTACCTATAGAATAGCTAAGGAAGGAAGGCCATGACCACCTACTATATTTCCAGAAAATTACCTTAAAATATTTGGAATTGTGGTAAGAATAAAAGAGCATTAGGAGTATGTTTAGACAAAGTAAACACATCACACTCACTGGGCACCTTTTCCTTAATGTATCACATATAATTTGAAGGTGCTTTATATCCAACAGAAACTGTTAAAAAATACAAATGGATTATTATTATCATTATTGTCAAGTGCATAAAATCATCTGAAATATACTCTTTTGAGAGGCGAAATGCTATTTGAAATCTCTAATTCTTGGGAATATTCTCAAGTGTCTGCTTCTGGGTAAATTCAGATTCGTTTGGAACACTCATAAATATTGTCTGCTCATCCCATTAGTTTTTACCCAGTGGGAAAGTAAGTCATAGAATTTTCTTCTGGGTCATTATTGTGAGTAGTCCATATTATTTGATAAATTGCTATTAAGCATGGCAGGAAATGTACCTTGTGTTTGGTAGTTTATGAGAGACTTGGGGTAACTCTAGTTTTATGGTGGATGTCCAAACTGGAAGTGAGTTCCAGTGCAAATTGCAGATCAGATTCACAATGCTTTAGACACCAAGAATGTCAGACAAGCTTGTTGTCAAAGCTGCCAGACAGGCAACCTTACTCACTTTGAAACTGACAATTAAAAACATGGTATGTGAGAATTGTTAAAAGACGTAGGAATATTATGCACTTTCCAATAACACAATGGCATGTGTGTAATTCTTCTATTCTCATGCTGACTAATATATGTATGTGGGATATAACTAATCATCCCTTATCCAATGTGCACTTGCAAATGACCTTTGCTATGCTTTGACTAAAGAAGACTTGGGAACAATAAGTGTAACCAATCATGACATCTCTAAGATGCCCAGCACTATTTTAAAAAAGTGAAACCCCTTTAATGAGACCAACTGTGTCATTAAGTGTTCACTTTTAATATTCAGGTCAAATTTTAGTAATGCACAAGACGACATGTGCATTTATAGACTTTTGAATATGTTGAGGCATTTTTAGACCTTTTAAATCACTCAAGCTTCATGTAAAGCCAGCTTTGGGGATGGATATCTAAACTGCAATGAATTATTTTCATATATAACATAGAATAGGATAGAATACACAAGTTCAGATTTTCCTGCTTATGAATATAAATGTGAAAAGTGCATTTTATGAAGAGGGAAAAAAGCAAGGGTTTATTTGCTACAATTTAATTATGCAATAAAGATAGCAAAATGAGTGGATGCTTATTGCCTCCAATTCCCAAAACTTTCTCCTTCATTAAGTAATTCATAGACTTTCCTTATGGGAAAAGGTCGGGGAAATAAAATGTTATGTAGATTTAATGAAAATCTCTGCATTCATTTTATAGGTAGCTTCCTTTAAGTGGAGGCAGAGATTAAAATTAAAATAAGCAGCACGTCAGTCTGACAGCAAGATGACCTTTCATGATTCACTTGCCATTTATAAAGTGTAGAACAGAATTACAGAGCATTTGAAGATTGTCTCCCGCAAATTCTTCTCAAGGGAAATTAGGACATTTTTATTGCGCTATCAGCATTTATTGCTAAAAGAAACTTCTAATTAAAACTGATAATGGTGTATCATGTAACTAGTACAATATCACTCCGTGAGCTAGGGTTACATTTCAGATATTACAAAAAATAGTGTGGAAACCCATGAGAAACAGAAGTTTTCAAATTGGCATATCAAACATACATTTTGTTGGTCTGCGAATCTTAGATTGTTATTAATAGCTATAATCCATTCTATAGAAAAGTATAGTTATATTTAACTTAATTATTGCTATCTCAAGCCAGGTTATTTTTTTGACATATAGGCAGATAAGATCATTACCAACATTCTGAGTCAATGGTGCTGTGATATGCAATGTTGGCTGTTTTTCTCCTTATAAAAACAATAGACCAAGATTGTTTCATTTCTCATTAAAGTTCAATAAAGCAAGTGGCCACCAGATGGGTGGCAGAGCCTATGCAATATTTTTGTGACTCAAACATAGTTTGCTAAGTTACATAGAATACAACAGATTTTTCAACTTAATCATTGATCTCCATAAAAGTCAACTCTTCACTAAAAAGGAGAAAGAATTTTATTAAAATAATTAATATGGTACCTAAGTTGGATCAAAGCTTAAACGGAGAGAAATCACTGGGCAAAATTTTATACCTCATAAAAACGTAGCACTTTCATCCTTCAACTTAGATATGCTATTTGTTCTAAATTGATATTTGAGAATTTACTTGTACAGTAATTCAGGAAATTATTCACAATAGAAGGAGATCTAATCACACCAAAAGTTGGAGACTTGGGAAGGGAATGGGTGCAGAGAACGTGTAGATGTGGAGAAATTGGGTCTTTTCAGCGAGCTGTGATCTGTAGGGGAAAGGAAGAGGCAGAATAACAGGGCAGATGGGTTGGGCTCAGAAGGATGTGAATATTAGACTTGCAAGTCCAAATTAATGGGGATGAAAGAAGAGTTTGCAGTTTTGGTCAACAAGGAGTGACATGAACTTGAGACTTTGAAAAAGGATCTTAATCTGCCCACACTTATTATTATCACTGGGTTGTGAGGAAAAGATGATGAGTATTGAGGCTGTTTGTGAGAAAATTAGGAATACAGTCAACCAGAGTTTAAGGAGAATTTCAGATACCCCCAAAGTGTCCTTAGAGTAGCAGCAGAACCAGCTATCACCTCGACAGGATCAAAAAAGGATCCATCATTTTTTCTGAGAATTTGTTCATTTAAACAAGGAAGGCATGGAGCATGTTCCACACAGGGCCCTAGGTACCTTGTTCTATTGTAAAATCATTTCTTGACACATTGTTGACCAGTCACGAGTTACCTGGTAACACGGATAGTTTCTGCGTGAAATTTCCAGTCAATAATATGATAACACAGCCGCTGTCCCCTGATTCATTCTTCCGGTCTCAATCCCCAGTTGTCCCAAATTCAACTTATTTTAGTCTTTCTACCCTCCTCATCTTTCAGCTGCTTACAGAATCACTTAGTGCCTCTAATATCCTCACACATTGTTGACCAGCAATTTTATTCAGAAACTACCCCTGCTCGTGACTGGTCAATCATGTGTTAAGACACCGGGCTCCCAGATTCCTTCACACCTTTTCACAGCTGATCTGAAAATTGAAAGTTGGCAACAACCAAGAAAAGGGAGGAAAAAGTACAACTTGTTTGTGTACCTGAAGATGGTGTACGTGTAAAGAAATGCCTAGGCAGCAGTTAGAGATGGGAATAAGTAGATGAAAATGAAAGAATTAAAACAGTCATCCTGGGGTTTCACTAGAAGTCCAAATGTCTGTCAAACGCTGAAGAAGGGGAGCAAGCCCGGCTTGAGGTGTATCCTGACATTAACGCTCACGCTCCCTCTGCCACGTCTGGTGTTCGTGCCATCCAGGAACATAAAAGGAGTAAGGCTGTCATGACACTCACACTGCATTCTGGGGAAGTCTCCGGACTGTAGGCCACCCGAAAAGGCTATGTGTATTTCTGAAGAGTTAGTTTAATTTCATTAGACAGGAAATCGTTGGGTACTCTGCAGCCTACTAATCACAGATGAATGTGCAGTTAAAGAGTTCATACTTGAATATTGCAATGGAAATTTGGCACACCATTCTACAAATTTGATAGGATGAGACAGATTAAACATTTCTTCAACTTGAAAAATCTTCCATTGATTCAAATTGAAATTCTTTAAGTCTGTAAATATTGATAGAGTGCCTACTGTATGCCACTGTCTTAGGAGCTGGTGATTCTGAAGTCAATAAAGCCAGCAACTTCTCTGCCCTCTTAGAACTTACTAGTGAGAGAAGACAAATGGTAATGGGTGGCAATAAATTTCCATATATGTACATTATGTACTTACAATGCTGAGTGATAATGAGGGGTATGGAGAACACAAAATAGAAGAGGAAGACAGGGAGAGTGCTGGGGCACTTTGTAGTTTAAACAGGATTGCTGGAAAAGGCCTTTCTGCAGATTAAAGAAAAGTAAGTAAAGATGTGAAGGAGATGAGGGAACGTGCATGTGCCTGTCTAGGAAAAACCACTCTAGGGGCAGTAGTTCCAGGTACAGAAGCCTGGAGGCACAAGGACACCAGTGTTTATGGTGTACCAAGAGGGGACAGGGTAGCTTCACCAGAGAGCGTTAGTACAGAACCTGGAAGAGAATTTCACAGAGCTGATGGTGAGTAAGGTCATGTGGCTTAGGCCTCTGATGGCCATGAATGTCTTTGGCTGTTACTCTGAATGAGACAGCAAATTATTAGGGGCTGGGGTTGAGTGGACAAACGGAATCTTTTACTCAAAGATTAAGATCATTTTTGCTATTGCACAGAGAAGAGAAATAAAGATAGAAGATGGAGATACAGATGCAAGTAGCCGTGTACTCCAATAGTGGGAGTTTTCTCTGACTACCTGTGTTTTCCTCTGAAATGGGAAGCAAAGACAGCACCTGAAAGACAGTGATGAAAAAGAGCTGTAAGTCTGAAGAGAGATGAAATGATCTGAAAGTCATCTACGATCAGCCTGAATTGACGGCACTCCAGGGATCACGAGGCCCATGTGAGTGTAAGGGGTCATGAATTGGAGAAGATGTATCAACCAGTGAGGATTTGCTTCAGCCACTTTTAGCTCCACGGGTGCAGCTGGTGTGGGTAATCATCGGCATTTAACCAGGATTGGTATTTTGTCAAACTGCTGTTTTTGAAAACTATGATGAAGGGGGTTGATGGTGTGGAATCTCTGCTGAATAAGGAGAGGCACGAAGACAAGAGAGGGCAGGAAATAATGAAGGAGCGGGGACTAATGGAGTTCACGTCTCCACTGAGTCAAGGATTGTTGGAGTCTGGCCTAGCAGGAGGGGATGGGAAGCTAAAATGGGGTGATCAGGGAGTTAATACACAAATATCAAATGAAGATTATGAGGGAGCTGCAGAGTTGATCCTGTGGAACTTGAAAAACAGGACTTTGGAGTAGGTAGCTAAGGTAGAGGGAGTAACAAGATTATTAGAAGAAAGGAGGTCAGGGAATCAGAAAAATCCACAGTGTCAATGCTAAAGAGTGTCCACAGACCTACAACATTTACGAAGTGTCTTTTGTCAGCTCATGACCAGTAAAACCCAGAAATTAAGAATAAGCATTTAAAACATTTTATAGCATTTGATGTGATATGTCTGTAGAATCAAACGATAAAAATTTGGAGCTTTTTTTATATCTTTGAAAATTATTGTAGTAAATAATTTATCTTTTACTTTGTGCCAGTGTTGGTAAGTCAGAGATTGAAGAACAGTGACTTAGCCTCCTATGCGAGTGTAGGAGAGCGTGACAATGAGCCAGAAACTCAAATCTTACAGGAGTGACCAGGAGATGACTGGGAAGAAGGAGGAATGATGGGGGGAGTGGTCTGGAGAGATGAGACTCAAAGATGAGAGATTTAGGTAAGAATAAAAGAGAATGAGTAACAGGACACGCTCATATCATCCTCAGTAATACGAGGGTGTGGGAAGCAGGATCACGGAGAAGTGGTGAGTGAGCTCAGAAGAGAGAGCTGCAAAGAGGAAGAACCGCCCAGCAGGTGCTGAAGAGGATTTGCAAATGTGACAGGGCAGCAGGTTGTCCATTTCTGAAAGATCCAACTGATGGGAAAAATCAGGATATTATAGAACTTGCATTCAATGGAGAGCAAATTATATCAACTAAGCATTTTGTACCCGATATTATGACGATGGGATAAGGTCTTTTTTTTTTTTTAGGTTAGCTTGTAACCTAAATGTTAAGTAGTGTAAACTAACAACAACTTAAAAGAAAAGGTCAGAGAAGTGCTCACCACACAATATTAGGGGAATTTTTCAACACTTCTAATTTAAATATTGAAACATATAAATGTGCATCACGTTTTCAAATCCAAATTGAATATTGTTAGCTTCTATCCTTTCTCTTCTGAGTATTAGACTAATATATTTTCATGTAGGAAAGAAATTTTCTATTGAAAATTATAATAAAAATAGTATATGAAGATGCAAACACCTAATATTCATTCATTTAAAATGGCTCTTAAAAACTGGGGCGGCAGGGAACACTGTTTTACACAGTACACAGAAAAGTACAGCTGATTACCTGTAATCTGTGCCATTGACAGGTGTCCACGTATATGTCCTATTTCCTTTGTCAATATATCTCTAGAAAAAAGTTTGACATGGTTATTATCTTATATTCTGTATGGATTTACATGAAGAGTAGAGCAGTAGCATCAACTTATAAATTTTGTGGTTATGTAACACTTTGCTTTGCAAAGGTAAGATCTACTACATTGCCCCTTTATTCTGTTACGGGAGGTGGATAGCAAAATTTTAGGAAAGAAATAAACATACAAATAGCATCAAAATGTCACACATACTCCATAAATATAAGCAACTAATACATATCTATAATAGTAAAGATTTAAACTTTAAAAATAACATAAATACAATAGTATTTCTCAAATTATTATTCCTGAAACTTAGAAAAAGGCATTTTCTGAAAAAGTAATTTTAATACTTAAATGAGACTATGAAATAGTTAGACAAGGTTCAGATATATCTATATTAGAGTATGTGTAAGAGTAATTGTCAATATCAGGAAGTTAATGCAGCCGGTGAGTCTACATCCAAATGAATAATTAGTACATTATTGTTTTTCTTAATCCATTCTTGATATATATCATAAGATGCTAATTACTCAGTGTCACTGAAGCTTAGGGAAACACCACGATCTACCAGTGAAGAGTAGTACGGAGCTAAATTACTTCACGGATATACAATCTCTTATATATATGTAGCTATTGAACAATAGTAAAGAAATAGTGGATTAGTAGCAAAGAAAGATAAATTACCTGTATCAATTGTTTTTAACATATAGGTCTATTTAAGAATAAGCCTGACCACAGAAAGACAAATATCACATGTTCTCACTTCTATATGGGAGTTAAAAAATTGATCTCATGAAAGTAGAGAGTAAACTAAGAGTTCCCAGAGGCTGGAAGGGTGTGTGTTTGGTGATAGAGGTTGGTTAATAGGTACAAGGACACAGATCGCTAAGGACTAAGTTCTAGTGTTTGAGGACGGCATAGTAGGGTGACTACAGTTAACAACAGTATAATGTATATTTCAAACCAGCTAGAAGACCTGAGATGCTTAGGACACAAAGGAATGATAATATACGAGAAGACGGACATCCTAAAAACCCCAATTTGATCGTTATACATTATACACTTGACTGAAAATATCATGTGTGCCCTATAAATATGTTCAAATATTAAATATTAATAATGAGAAGGAACAATCCTGAATCAATTCCTACCTCATCTTGAGATTTAACCAGAGTTCGGAAGGTTTTTTCTCCACTTTCTCCATCTATCATTTTATTTCGAATCTAAAAGAAAATGAAACAATCAGTTAATTCCAGGAGCTAAATTGACCTATTAAAGTATGATAATTAAAATATTAGCTTTTCTTTTACCTTTATTAGAACATAGTGAATAAATATAGGTTGGTTTTACCAGTAATTGTAACTGTTTTCTGGTTGTTTCGAGATAGGGTCTTGCTCTGTTGCCCAGGTAAGAGTGCAGTGGCATCATCAAAGCTCCCTACAATCTCCAAATTCTGAGCTCAAGTGGTCCTCCTGCCTAACCCTCCCAAGTAGCTGGGACTGAAGGTGTGCACCACTGCACCTGGTTAATTTGTGTTTTTAAATTAATTTTAAAAATTAAATTAAATTTTTAAATTTAATAAAAAATTTAAATAAAAAATAAAAAATTAATTTTTTTAATTTTTAAAATTTATTTTTATTTTTTGTGGAGTTGGGGTCTTGCTATGGTGCTCAAGCTGGGCTCGAACTCTGGGCTCAAACAATTATTCCTGGCCCCCTAAAGTGCTGCATTACAGGTATGAGCTGCTACTCCTAGCCATGGGATTTTGTTTTTTAAATTAGCTTAAAATAATCATTTTACAGTATCTTAAAATAATGAAAATACCTTTAATAAAATCTTTTTAACCAGTCATTAATATTTGAGACATAATGAACAAAAAATGGTCAATTATTTTCCTTTATTGGTCATCACACAGTAATTTGGAAATAGAAATACATGTGTCTGTGCGGAATTAGCATATGACATGGAATACCTTACCTTTGGCCCTACATAAAAGAACAGTTTCACGTGATAGGAGAGTTTTCAAGAGTACTCTTTATACTGTTTAGTATTTATCATATCTGGAAGTACAAAAATACCTAGCTAAACGATAGGGAAAATTGTGAAGACTTACTTGAATTTAATCTAACGTTAAAGGAGTTTTTAGATTCCTTTAGGAGAATTTTCCACATTTTTAAAAATAGACAAGGTCACATTTATTCACTAAATATCCTAGTCTAACAGATGTTCTCAGAATTTTAAATTATTTTTTTATTTTATGTAATTTAAATGAACTAACTTGGTATGATAAAAGAGATAATTTGGATTTGAAAAATACATTGATGTCATTTGTCTAATTTAGTTAAAATGTATGCATCTGTAGTAAGGATTAGACAACAGCTCCTAATGTAAGTTGAATATCTACTTACGAGAAGCTCAAAAATAATAAAGAACTTACCATGAACCAGGCCTTAGGTTAAGCTCTTTCTATATATGATTTCCAACAATCACTATACTAATTGAGAGGAAAATGAGGCTTTGAAGGACTAAATAAGATCATTAGGTTCGCTCAGTAGGAGTCCAGACACTAAGCTTGTCACCATTACTTTATCCCACTTCATCATGTCATACACTTTATAACAATCATTCATTAATCAGGAGAAACACCCCAGCACTAGACTACAGTCCAGGGTAATTACAGTCAAGTATTGAATCACATTGTTTTATCATAAGAAGTAAAAGTGTATAATTGTGTAGGTCAAGAACAAATTAAAATACACTATGACATGTTATTAAAAAAAAATACATGGTGGCCTTTGTAAAAAAGAGGTGTTAATCCATCTGGAAAAATCCTCAAAAGCTGTTCTTTGAAGTGCAAGAGATTGATTCTGCTACTTACTTTAAAACTAACTAACTGTAGACAAGTTATTTATTGCTCTGCATTTCCAATATATCGTCAGTACAACAGGTATTTATATAATAATAGGAGGAATACTCATTTTAAAAACTCGTGAATTATTGACTTTCACATATCATGTACTTAAATGTTATTGTAAATTTTTTATTAATATGATTATCTTTATTATTATGGAAGACACCCTCAGAAGAAATGACCTTCATTCCAGTTTGGTTTTGAAATACAACAGAAATTTGCTGAGTGAAGTGTACGAAGGCAACTTGGCAGCTCCTCTCCTCATGTCACTCAGCATGTGGTTGGGTAGTTGGATCTTGGCCTCCATTTCTAAGATTCTTCTTAAAATTTACGAGTTATACTCAGACTGAAAAAGTTAAAGTATCTCTACCATTGAAAAGAGAAAGAAAAATACTAAGGTCACACTCAACTTAAAATATTTATTCCTTTTCATATTATCTTTTGGATGAGTCAAACAGATCTCTAGAAAATCTTAAAACCAATAGTATTCAGCCTTGTATACATAGCATCTAACAGACAGCCTGATAATACAACTGCTCAACAAATCTGTGTAGAATGGATGAATTCCTGCACTTGACCTGAGGCATTGTTTACTCTTACTAATTATACTCACCTCCACCTTGATATCATTCTCTAGCTCTGCATCAAGGAAATCCAGAGTTACTGGCTCCTGAGATTTGGGGTTCTACAATAAACAATAAAAGTTAAGTACACATGATATTATGAAGTAATACTACTTAAAAGGAATTCGATATATTTCAATGAAATTAATTCTGTAAAAATTACTTACCTACGAATATAAAAATTAGTTATTTTATATATGAATAATTGGATAAAAGTATCTGCTTTCATATACATATGATACTAAATAGCCAGAGCTAGGGATTTAGCATTTAAATTCAGCAAATTTTTAATCCATCATCAGCTGAAGACCATCATATTTTGAGTGCTCTATATAACACTGCCCTTGTAAATCCCAAGTTCTACAAGGTTAACTTTTGAAGATACATTCACAACTTTATTTTAATTAGTGTGAAATAAGAGCAAAAGAAAGCCACTTGATAAAATAAGGGCAACACCGAAGCATCCTTTTTATTTGTGTTCTATAAAGAGATAAGAAACTGGATGAGAAAATGTTTTAAAACTATGTTTGGATTTGTTAAGTAAAACAGGCTTTTAGACCTAGCCTTCCTTCTAAATATGCTCAATGGAAAGAGGCAAGTTTGCTTCATATATTTAAATCTCAGAAATTTTATATGATATTTTAATAATTCCAGTTAAGTCAAGATTTTATAAGGTAAAATTTGTGGTCAAGTCGTAAATAATTTAACTAAGATTAGCTTTTGCAATTAAAGTCTAACTAGGAAAGTAACCCCTAGGTTCACCAAATATTATTTCCTGTTTTGTTTCCTGTTTCAACATCCAGTTCTTCCTGCTGGTATTTAAAAATAAAGTTTACTATGCAAACAGGCAGATTATTTATTCATACAAATATATCAAATGATACTGTTTGTCTGGAAGACTTATCTCATATGAGATTATTTTAATTTCTCATTCATAAAAAGAACTATCGAAGTATCTGATAAACAATATGTACTCTCTTTTAATATTTGCTGAGAAATATAACATTCATACTAAAATTTCAAAGTTCACAGAACAAATTTATAATATTTATAAATAATTTTATAAATGTAAAATTTTAAAAACTGAATTTTATGTGTATGTGCTAATAGCACTGGTTTTCTGTTATAATTTAAGCCTTCCTTGCTTTGAAATAAAAAGATATTGAATATCAAAAAAAACTGAATTTTAATGTTTAATTAAAATAAATATTATCCGAATCTGATATTCAATGGATTAGCTAAATACTTAATAATTAAATACTAATTATCCTGGATTAGTACAAGGGCCATTGGAACTTTTATAACATCAGCCTTATTGGCTCCTCCCAAGGATGTTTAGATCATCACTATATTTTAAATATTGTTTTCTGAGGATAGACTTCTCAAGACAATAACAATAATTAAAAATGTATTTTATTTAGATGCAGAATTATATAGTACACAGGGCATATTTATGATTATGATAAAATGCTCTCCTTCAATAGTAACTCTTTTAAATAATGAAAAATTTTGATTAATACAGTTTTTGATAAATGAGGAATTTTAAAAGCAAATTAAAAAATATACGTCAGGTGTGTCTGGCACTTTTATTGAAAAAGTATTGACTGCTTACATACTCTGTTGCTCTAATTAGAAGTGTCTTTAGGTATAGATTTTTTTTTTTTAATTTATTTTAAGGAATGCTTCACAAACCCTTGTGCAGGGGCCATGCTAATCTTCTCTGTATTGTTCCAATTTTAGTGAGCACTAAATATAGATTTTTTTAAAGGTGAAAGTACTGATCATAGTTTAGACAGCTTCTTATTGCCTCAGAAGGAAATAATAATTTAAAATGTAGCATACTTCATAAGAAAAAAATAAAAGTCAATGTTGAAATTCCTTCTAATCTATGTTCAACCAATGAAACCTAAAGTGTCCTGAACAAAAGAATACTCTCAAGCTTTTAATATGATTGAGAATTGCTTCTTTGAGTTCTCATAAATACTGACAAAAACCATTTTCACAAAAACACCATCGTATCAATGTTAAATTTTTAACAGACTCACTGCAAAACAAAGGCAAAATAATCAAAATAAAAAAAATATATACAGAAATAAGAATATTTATCTTACATGCAATGGATAATGCATAGCATGACCAGACCCAAACAGCATGCATGGAGGAGGCATTATCAGGAAGAAATGGCAATATGAAGATCATGTCCCAATCCAACATATAAAGACACAGAGAAGAAAATGAAATCATAGAAGAAAAATGTCAATGCATAACTTGCACTTTTTAAATGGCAATCTGGCTGACCATTTTTTAAAAGACTCATCACAGGCTCAGTGACTGAAAAATTCAAGTTACTTCTAGTAAGAAGTACCAAGAGAGGATAAAGAACTAAAGTTTATCCCTGTGTATCCATTACTTTTGTTTAATATTCTAAATACAAGATAGAGAGCGATGTTCTTCACAAATTTGAAATTGAAATAAGTAGTAGTTAGGATTATTACCAATATTACCCAGCACAAAAAAAAAATTCCTGAAACTGAGATGGCCTGTGTAGTTGCTAGTTTGCCATTTAAGGTTTTCTTAGAATGAAAACAAAAATAAAGCAAGCCATTTTCACTTTGTTTATTTTTTAATTACATCATATAGTTACATGCAATGGTTGAGGTTGCTGCAAAAATAAAAATTCACTAAAATGCACATGACTGCCAAAAGTATATAATACATAAAAAGAAACATGCAAGGAGAGTAACAAAGTAATTTAATATATCATGAAAAGCATAAATATAGTTTTAACCTCTATAGAAATCAAAAAAATATGGAGACTTCCATATGCAACACCATGAAATTCAGACTGTCATAGAATTCTAGGCCTGTACTCTGGGATCAACCTGGGAGCTTTAAAATTTATTCATAGGCTGTGGGCCCCATCAGTGGCCAAATTAAATCAGAATTTACAGGATATGGGGAGGCGGTCTATCCTATCTATGTATCTATGTATCTATCCAGTTGAATACACTGTGAAGCATAGAAAACAATGATTAGTTCAATTATACTGCTTGAAGAAGCTGAAGGACTAACTATAGTGTTTCCTGAACTGCTCAGGGAATCAAACTGGCTATTAGTAGAATCAAATTAGAAGTCGATTCTATTAATTCACAGTTTATCATACTGTTTCTTCATTATAATGGCACTGACTTTTTAAAAGATGGTAGGCTTACCTATAAAATCTTGAATAATGTTGAACTTCCTTGAAATTTTGAAATTCTCTTACTAAGCTGTAGGAAGTATCCTTTTACTCTGATTTTTTAGCATGAGTATAGAGAAATGCATACATATGCTAACCTTGAAATTTTATTGCCAACAGAGAAAATGCTTAGCAATGAGTTTGCCAGGCAATGAAAATTCACACTATTTAACTGCACTTTTGGACATCTTTAAGTAGCTGAAGGGGAATTTCTCTAATATCTAATCCAAAATTACACATTTAGGAAATTCAAAAAAATTTTGGCTTAAAATTTGTGGCTTATGGAAACTTTTGGGCAAAATTGCATTTTTATTTCTACTTAGAAGTCAATTTTACAAGCAAATTGTTAAGATCACCTGGATTTAATACTAATTTCACAATATTTAATACCAAATTTAATTTGCAAAAGTCATCTATGATTACTCTGATTGTTAACATCATTACGACATAATTAACTCAGCAGTCTTTTGTTAGCCAATGCATACCCTTTACCATCATTATGACATTTTGCTCCAGTTTATTGAGAAATGATGCCCATCTGCATCTCATGCTCTGGAAGCTTAATGCCAGGAAAGGCGGGTTTAATCAAAAGCTTTAAGAACAGAAGCTTAATTTTAACTCTGATTCAGCAAATTCAAAAGCACTGCTAAGTCTACCTTCATTCACAGTTACCTGAATATTGGGTCTCCTTTTCCTTAAATTAATTGTTGGTATACCTACACCAATAGGCTGAGGTAACAGAAAAGTGGTAATTCATCATAATGCATATCAACATAGGGAAGGGTTCTATCTTACAATCAATCTTGGTCAGGTATTTCCTTGTGGGTAATAGGTCTAATATACTCAGGATTTAATAATTGGGTAGGTATAGAATTCATGATGAGTCAATAAGTAAAATGAAAGTTTAAAAGTATTTTTAGTGAATAAAAACTGCCATGCTAATATAAATCATTTTTTTATGCTAAATGACTATGTTTTCTTTTTCTAGAAAAGTATATATTTGGGAAGTGTAAAAAATGGTTTGTCCCAGATAATTTTTCCCACTGCTTTAAGGAGAGAAAGAGAGAGAAAGAGATGAGAGAGGGAGAGGGAGAAAGAAATACAGTGAAATTAGAATTGCTAGGATTTACACGACCCAAATGTGTAAAATATAAAGATTGCTAATGTTCCCCCCTTCCAAATTCCCATGTTGAAATCCTCACCCCCAAATTTGATTATAAGGAGATGTGTATTAGGGAGGTGATTGGGTCATGGGGATGGAGCCCTGCTGGATGGGATCAGTGCCCTTATAAAAGAGGCCTTAGAGCAGTGGTTCTCAACCTGTGGGTCGCAACCCACAGGACCTGTAAGGGTTGCGGCACTAGGAAGGTTGAGCAACCACTGCTTTAGAGGGACCCTTTGATTCTTCCTCCACCTGCAAGTTCAGAGTAAGAAGACGGCTGTCCGTGAGGAAACATGTCTTCATAAGACACTGACTTGTCCAGGCCCTAATCTTGTACTTTTCCGTCTTCACAACTGTGTAATATAAGTCTCCATTTTTTATAATTTACTCACTATATGGTATTTTGTTAAAGCAGCCGAGATGGACTAAGATAAATATTATGGTATATTAAAAAGCTTTAAAAATTTGAAATTTGTGCTTTTATTTTCTGAAATGATAACTGTGGAACTAATGGAGAATTCATTCAAGCACTGTAGATTTATTCTTAATATTAATTTCACACAGATTATGTACAATTTCCTATACAGTAAATATTTCTTAATAACTGACCAAAATGATATATGTAATGAGTTTACCTAGTATGTTTATGTCAGTGACAACAAATGGAAGAAATATAGGATGTGTTTTAGAATAAAGCAAATAAATAGTCTCAATTTTTTTTTGAGAAAATAATGATCTCTTAGAAAATTTGATATGTGAAAAGTTCATAGCTAATTTATTTACTTATATTCTGGGCTTTTAAAAGGGCACTCATCCTACCTTCTACAAATTACAAAATTTTACTGAACGATTTTGAATTAAATGTACAGTATTAGGAAGAAAACACGAGGCATTGAACATGTAATACTTGTATAACCTTAGACTTTACCTTCTTAAATAAGTGCTATACATATAGCTTTATTTTCCCTCATTATTATTAATTAATATACAAAAAATTACTTTTTTTAGAATACTAGGTATTACCATTTGGTCTATTTGGAAATTTCTAAAACAGTTTTCATATACTATATCATCCTTTTATGAGGGTCTTGTATCAATCTGTAAAGCATATCCTTTTACCCCTCAGATAAAAATCATATACTGAACCTGTCTATGATGAGAATTCACAAACATATCTAATTTATAAGCATGAATTTCAGAAATAGAACATACTGATTGTTTAGACATTTCTGTTACATGGTTTTCTAAAACAGTATTTTAAAAATGTCTTTCTGTTACATATTCGCTTTAATAAAATTCATTACAAAGATATAAAAAGCTAATTTATAATTCTGTACAAACAACATCACCTGAGGTTCAATAAAGGTTTCTATAGAATTTTCATCTTATATAATTTTATGAATTTTAGTGAATTGATCATTCTAAACATGAGAGAAATAAAAGTTAACATCATTCAAATAGTAATAAAATATTTTTAATATAAATATTGGTTATTAGTAGGAGACTGTAGAAAAGGGAAAAATCTTTGTCAAATTATTACCTCTATTTGACTGTGAGCCTAAATTTTTATTATCGCTTGATGATGAGTTTCTATATATCCATCATATATACATTATTAACTTTCATTTTCTTCTTTTTTTCTTTTTTGTATATTATATATTAGTTTCTTTGGGGAAGAGTTACGATTTTCAATCATAAAAGTAGAGATCTTTCAGCATATTATGTTGGTATTGCTTTTCAAAAATAACTGAGGTTAGGGGAACGTACTTTAAAATGCACTGGATATACAAAGACCAAATTATAATACTTCAAAATTAAAAAAAAAATGTAAAAAGATAAAAATTTTCAGTTCTCGAAACATGATTGCCAACTATAAATAACTCTATTTAAGAGAAGTTTAACATGACATGCTTTTAAAGAGCTGTGACAGTTTAATAACAGTGTAAAAAGGTATCAATGTAACATTTATATTAAAGTAATATATTTAAACATAATATAAGATGATCACTAGCTACATTTCCTGCAAATATTTATATGATAGATTTTATATGGAAATAAGGTCTAGCATGAGAAAAATTAAAATAGAGCATCAATTATATAATATTATTGAACATATTAGAATATAACATAATTATTGCATTCAATGTTTTTGCATTCAACAGCAATGGTTTTGATTTTTTATTATCGATTTTAACTGTCCTTAAATGGCACAGGTTTTTGTGTATTCACGTGTTCTAGTGTATGCCTCCCGCTGGGGAGAAAGTGATAGCATACAGGGTTTTAAAAAGGATCTCCAATATTTCTTGCAAGTTAAACAATAATTTACATATGCTTATAAAGTTAAAATTAAAAAAATAAGATTAATTTTGCTTCTGGATAACTTTGGTCATTAAATTTCCTATACAGAATTAATGAAAGGTAAAATGAGTTGAATGAGATATTTTCTGAAAAATTTTCTATTATGAAAAAATAGGTATAAGAAGTAGGTTCATCTATGGAATTTTACCACTTTGAGACAAACTCGCTGATTCATAAACACTTCCCATTTCTGAAGCTTGTGGTGTGAATTTTACTTAATGAATTTCTTACACTTTTAAAAGCCTGCCTTAAAGTAAAAAGAAAAAACATTCGGAGATGAAAAGCAGAGATAATTACCAGGAGATGAGGGCAATGGAAAATGTGTCCTGAGCCCAGAGGAACCCAACTAATGTTTATTTATTAGGTTCACACCCAGGTCGGGAGCAATAACCTTCCTGTAAAGTACAGCGTCAATCAAAGTCCAAAGTGAGAAGTATGAAATGGTGGTTCAGGAGGTGAGAATGGTTATCTCTGAGACAGGGATATTAGTTCAGCTAAACTGATGGAGAAAATGAAAACTCCTTTCACACCTTCATTCACTATAAAATCTGCACTCCTCATCTGAGAGCCACATTACAGACGGGGTTTTTATATTTTGTACTATATAGTGAATATTAAAATGAAAATCCTATTGAGAATATTACTCATTAATTTTACAAATCAGTAACCACTGTAAAGAAATTATATTCCTACCTTTGGCTGGAGATTTGGATGTAATAAAACATAACCATTAGGATCGATTGCAAAGTAATAGCCATTGGGACACAGCTGAAAAAGAATCAAAAAACCTTAGCTAGAGATTCCTGAGTCCAATTAGAAATCTTACATTTTTTTAAACAGTCTTTTTTAAAACAATTTATTAGCTTATTTATAAAATTCACATTTTGTAGCATGTTGAAGGTAACATGGTATCAGACCTTAAGGATGCTTTTTAATAGTTAATACATTTGCTCAGACAACTGCGCATAATTTTGCAAATGACTTAAGTGCTTATAGACAAACTAAAGTAGTATAGTTCTAAAAATAGAATTAGTACCAAAATAGTAAATTGCGTCTTACTGTAAAACGGGGTGTCAGTCTTTTAATGTCTTCCAAAGACACATCAACTCCCATCACACCTAGAATCAGCTGGTTCTATAATAAGATAACACACGGTCAGTACATTTTATATTGCAAATGTTTATTTCCACACAATTGTCATAAGTTCATCTTTTTGTTTTGAAAATAGTGGTATTCCATATTAGCTTAAAGATACATATTCATGGGGGTGGGGCACTTTTGGTGTCAATTTACAAGGATTCTCACTTTTTTTTTTTAACAACTTTATCATTATCATTTAACTTAGCAAAGAATATCTTGATAACTAAAGTAAAGTTAAAAAGATATGTAAACACTTTTATGTGATGCTGCTTGTACCTTTCTCTTCTAGTATTTATTTTTACTGCTACCATAGAGCAGCAGGTGTAGGATGTGTATCCATGCATGTGAGTGTGGACTGACTTTGTGGTTTACTATAATAAAGAAATCACAAGGATGACCAACTTAAAGATTGCAAAAATGGCATAAACACACATTGGATTTTCGCCTTAAATAGTACCTGAGTATGTCTAACTATCCTGAAAGTCAGTGATGTTATTGGTAACAAAATCCTCAAAACACTGTTTCTAGTTGCTACTGACAACATCTTCTAAATACCAAACAGCTAGCATTATACTTATAGCTGCAGGTTGATGGGGTTGTAAGGCGATTTACTATCATAATCATCTATGGAACATAAATATAGGCATTGTGTTAAAATTTGGGGTCAGGAATTTTTGTTTCAAAGGAAAATATAAAAATTATAAAATGTAGGTTGAAGTGTGTTTATAGAGAAAATTACAAAAACAAGGTACATAGTGAAAAAGACACTTAAACTTTGTATAGGTGCAGACACAGTGAGAAAGTTACATCAACAACTACATTCTTTCCCATGAACCGATCCTAGTCTGACCAAAAACTCCCCAATCAAAGCAAGATCTTAGACTGAACATAACAAGCACAAGCACATATGAGAAGGAGTTACAGAATTACTCTCTCATGAGTTTACCATGTTTAGAACAAAGAGATATTTTAAAATGGTACTTGGCTCCCTGCCCCCCCCACCCAAAATAACTAACATTTTCTGTGGCTACACTCTTAAAATAAAGAATTCCACCAAGTTTTATAACAGCTGAACAAAAAATGCTTAAGTGCAATAGAGTTCATTAAACCATAAAATCGAAATAAATTTCCACTCAAATCAGAAATAATCAACTACACCATAAAATAGATTTCTGGAACTAAAAAAATTTTACTTCTGTTGTCTTTAATTCCTCTGAATCAAGCTGAAAAATAGGAATGTGATCCTATGTTTAAATCAAGAGTATTTAACACGTAACAAAAATTAAGTACAAGATGTGTATTTTTCAAAACTTTTAAGTAGGTCGCATTTTATAGCGCTGACAATATTACCAGTGCTATAGACATCAAGCACTGTTAGGAAATTACGTTCTTCCTGTATCACAAAAAATGGAAAAAATAAAACCAAAGAGAACTATTAATTTAGATGATATCTTAAATGAGGCTTAAAAACTATTGTTTGGGAGCTAGGGACTGATCGAGTACAGAATCAGTCTGTATCGACTCCTGATACAGACACCATGATTTTTGGTCTTTTTGATTTTTCTCTCTAAACTCTATGAATATCTCTGATGCATGTTAAAAATATGCACAGAAGATAATTGTCCGTTTATCATGTAATTACTCCCACAGGCTGACTTTGTGCTCTGAGCAGCCTTATAGTTGTGTAGAGCTGCAGTGAGTCTTGGCTGGAGGGCAACGAGAACTTGACCTGTGTTTCCTTTTTCCCAGGTGGTTATCACTTAGGCAGCTGTTGCCTTTGACCTCTGGCCATACAAGACAATAACATTATATGTATTTTCTTATAGAAATATCTTATCCACATTAGGCTTCCATGTCACAGTTTATCATTTATTATTGTTAATTTAATCAATTAACTTTAACCTTTAAGTTTGTCTTATTTTCAAATTGGCCGGTTATGTTGAAGACTGGAAGAGTTCCAGTAATGACAAGTCCCAGTTCCTAAAAATAGATTCAGAGAAAATAAGCAAATTAAAATTACAATGTAAACGTTGTCATATTATTGCTTTAGCCTTTTATATCTGACACTGCAGTTCATAGTTATTTTATAGTTAAAAACCAAGTAACTAATGCTGAATATCTATTGAAGTTTATTTTTTTAAATCAATGAAAATGTCTTGGAAATAATCAGACTTATTAGATGTGCAGTATCCAAAATAATACTCTTAGCATGAATTACAAATAATTTAAAATCACAGGTAATCAACTTACACGACCAAAAGACTAAGCATTTTAGGAACCCGGCCTCCCCCTTTCAGAGTGACAGTCCATCTAATATCAGGACCTCTATTAAGTAGGGTGATGTTAAAATATTATTTTGAATCATCTATTTACCTTCCTCTTTTATAGCTTTATTCTTAATTTGTTAAATGCCCTAAAAGCCAGACACTTCATTCTAAATCACAAACATGAGACCGAGTAACAAGATAAATAGAACGAACACTCTATTGACGTTATATTTTTGGAATATCCTAGGTTAATGCTAGGCTGTTCAAAAGTAGTAATATTACTTCTAAATATCCCTCAAAATAAAAAATAATTTTTGACAAAGCCAAAAGATACAGAAAAGATAACTTCAAGCATCAAATACAAAAATCTAGTCATGGTACAGTTTAGCATAACAAAAATAATGTCATCTTATTAATCAACACACTGATAATTTCATATATTAAACAAATCCATGGAGATTAGTTGTAATAAACTGATTTACAAGTCAGAGTTCGCTTTTTTTTTTTATTACTGACATTTATGGCCAACCCATTTGTTTATTTATTACTTATCACTATTTCATGTCAAATCTACATTTTCAACAAAATCACTCCTTAAAATAATTTTTAAATTCTTGCTGGAAATTTTGAATTTGCTAAAATGAAAAAATACTAGTAATCTTGAGAGTAATGATCCCAAGTCCAAGTCTCATGAACTCTGTTACAATTCCGGAAACAGTACAGTCTCAGGAAGAAAATGTCTCAGAGAGGCTGTGGTTTATAATTGTTCATGTAGGAAGCCCCCAAATAACGGAAACTGAACAAGGGAGGAGAGACAATTACAAAGAGACCTCCAGCGGAACAAGATACCAGATTATCCGAGACGAACAAAATTAAGGAGATAACCACACACAATTTGGTACATGATGAAATACACATTGGTTCCTTAGTCCCAGGCAAGAACACCTAACAATGAAAACATCTTTAATTAATTATGTAAGTTATTATTCCCAATGAAAACCACCTACCTCAATAAAGCCCTGCTGTAGACTAATTCATCATAGTAGTATCCAAAACATATTTCAAATAAAATTCCCTTTTGAGAGCATTCTATTAGATTATTGTTTATAAGCCTAGTTTTAAAAATCCTACTATGGTGTAAGACAATGTATATATGGATATAATTTTTTTTTCTTTTTATCACTTGTGTATTTATACAGAATATCATGATTTGCTTTTAAAGATGGTAAAATACACACTGAAATGAGATATTATGTTACTAACGTCTTAGATTTAATTATGGATAAGCTCATTAGTGCCCAACTGCCATTTTTCCCCCTTCATTTATTAAGCAGACCAAGAGATTATACTCCATTCCTGGGTATTGCACTTGCCTCTAGAAAATAAGAAGAGAAATAAAACAAGACTTCTGCCTTTTTCAATTTATTTGATAGTTATTTCCTAAGTCTTGACTCTTGTTGTATTTCTCATTTTTATACCGCACCTCACTTTATCTGCCAATAAAAATGAACTCTTTACAATACTGTCCCTTTCTTATATCTTTCCTCATCCCCTATTATCTCCAAAAGGGAATGGGGTATCATTTCTTCACTATCTCCACTACCCCCTCAAATTTTATACCAGCTCTGCTTTGTGTGGTTTCACTTCTCACCAACTATTGCAGAACCTTACCTAGCCTCACGTTTTGCCAAAATATCTCCATTTTTTGGACCACATCTCACTCTTTGATTTTATATGAGTTCTTTATTTTGAAATTTCAGAACTCTTTCAGTTTTCATCATTATGTTCATGATATTTGGTCTTAAAATATTTTTACCTTTTCCTTCTTAACCAACATATATTTTGAATCTGCTGTGTGCAGAGATCATAAGCAAATAACTAGAAATACATGATCGGTCACTTATCATTCTCAAGCCAGTAAAAGGAATGCTTTATGTGTCCAATGAATGGCCAATTCATGTGCCTCATCCATTTTTTTTTCTTTTTTTGACATTTAGTTTCAGCTTGTGTAACAGCACATTCAGAACCACCACTTCCTCCTGATGTCCTTTGTGCTATCAGTAAGCCTTACCAGCAATGCGGACATGCTGGTTAATGAACTTCTGGTCACAGGAAAAACAACAGGGCATAATTATTGACTCCTTCTATCACACACTGTTCTGTGATGAATTTGAAAAAGTGAAACATTTTGACCACAGCTTTAGATGACCATGTGACCTTAAGTAAATATGTGATGTCAAGAAGGAAGGCTGGACAGTGATTTTAGCAAGGGTTGAGGTAAGCAAGCTTTGCTTTATCTTTCTTAGCGTGCAAGGCTTCTGTTAATAGTCCTTATTTTTCCCCTCACTTCCTGTATATGTTTATTTCATAAGAACCAAATGATAAGTAATTCTAAACGAATTACATTTTGCCCTATGGGTTCATCATTGCATTTGGAAAAGTAGCTACAGCACATAATTGAACTCCAAGTAGGGAAAAGGGCTATTGAATCAGCATTTGCTTTTCAGGGCTTAGTATGCTGATTCTGTCCAAATACAGCATATAATTTTAGTAAATCATTAATAAAGCCTTCTCATTGATTAGTTTAATGTAACCACATCAGATTGAATAAAAAGAAAATCAAAATCAGCACATTGTACCCCACATAGGCATGAATGTATTCATGATTTATGTGTATTTGACCTCATTAAAAAGATTAAGCATGTGAATAACTCTTGTGTAATAATTATTTATAACTTCCATGTCATGAAAATAAGTATTACATAAAAAAAGATTTCTCAACTTCAAGCGCATTGACATTCGAGCTGGACAACTGTTGAGCGTCTCTGGAGGCAGCTGTCCTGTGTACTATGGCAAGTTTAGTAGCTGCTAGATGCTAGTAGCAACCCTTCCCCCACCCCGACAAGGCGTGACAATCAAGAATGTGGATTAGTATTTCCAAATATGGAATGACAAAATATGGATGACAAATATGGAATGACAAAAATATGGATGACAAAATTATTCCTAGTTGAGAAATATTGCTTTAAAATACAATGGAATACTGGTACTGATGTGCTATTTCATACCACGTTTGATCACCTCGGTGGCATATTTCCATAAAAATATCTGGGGTTAAATTTAATACAAGAGATTATATATCAAGAGGTGATTAGACTCGTGATGACTTCTGTGATTTTGACTTATCTACCTGCATGTACTTCTGACTTTTGGCAGCTCTAGCAACAGTTGTGGAGGCGAAACACACATCTACTAGCTAACTTATATTCAATGTATCCTCTTCATATTTCTTGCTTAAAATCTACAGATATAGGTTCTAATTAACATGACTTTTAGCACTGTTTTGTGAAAACACAATATTATTGAAATGCCCACAAAGCATTAACTTGGTGGTTAAGATTCAAGGTTGGAAATTCTACATTCTCAATGAATTAAGTAGAAAATAAAAACAGTACTACTTGACATCTACAATTCCTGACTACATACAAATTTAGATTTTTATACGAATTATCTAATTCTGGTACAGAAGCTTGTGATAGGAGGATTTAGGGAAGAGGAAAAGAGAAATGTCACCTAGAAAAAAGCAGAAGTCAGCTGTGTGCTTTTGTTATGACAGTTTGGGGCTGAACAGCTCAAACCTCTTACCAGTGCATCGAGGTACACATTCGTCCACTGGACTTGCTTAGCTTTGTCTCCTGCTAAAACCATGGGCCTTCCCAAAACATCCAAATATTCCTATTGATGGAGAAAAAAGTGGTTAAAACTAGAGATACCATACAAAAACATCTCCATTAGGAAAATTAATCTATAGTTAAAAATAGAATAAAAAATCTTGCGAGTAAGTGTATAGCTACTTAATTCCTACTTTGAATAGTCCATTAAGTGGTCTGTCTGCATATTTTGAATCAATACTCTTTGGCTTACATTATTTACACAGTCTATCTGCTGCAGTTTTTTCTAGTAACAATCTGAACATTGTTTTTCTGAGTTACAGCCAATGATAAGTGATATATGTCCCTGTGAATTGTTTCATGTTAATCTAAACTGTTTAAGGCTCTGTGATTTACAGCAGGGAATAGCACAAATTTGAAGTAATAAAGCCGCCATATACTTGCTTTCATATCACAGACTGGCTGAAATTCAAAACTACATTTAAACACATCAAAAAATAAGTGAAATACAGTGCCAAATCTAGACATCAGATACAAATGCAGCTGCTGTTTCATTCCAACATTCAATGTATTCAGTATTCATTTCCACAAATGCAGTGTTATTTACACTACATTCGACACAGTCTATTTCATAGATCCTCAGCTATGTTTACAATTGAGTGAGGATTTAACTAATAATTTATGGATTTTAAAAATAATATACGTTTAAATCAATTACTTAATTCTTCAAAAAGTTACATCAATAAGCTACTTAACAGGCCTGTTTTCAACTTAATGGTGTTAGAAAAACCAACACTTCATTAAGAATGAAGAACTTTATTCTAAACAGATAAATTGATCCACTGGGCTTACTTGGGAAGCATCTAAATTCCACCTAGGTGCATATATAATTTGTCCAGAATAATTATTGGTTAATTTTCTTGTGGGAACTACAGTTTGTAGAAGCTAATTTAAATTACATGCATTAGAACCAACTTCAAATTATATGAAATGAGATTGTTGATAAATTTAATTTTCTTCATTTTCTATGGTGTTTTTAAGCTTTGAGAATAATAACATTCTCATATTTTCACTCATATTTTTCACCTGAGTTTTGGATGCTTGAAAGCACTTGGAATGTTAATGCCATAAAACCAATACATTACCCTGATACTCAGCACTTTCAGATAAATGTAGTATGATGGGACTTTTCACTTTTATCCATTTTCTCCATATTGATCATATTTAAACCAGAATAGAAATATGTTACACTTTGAAAAAAAATAAGTTAAATAACTTTTAAATAACCATACCTGAGTATTGATTCTTATTGCTCCAATGGAAGGAATTTCATAATAATAACCTGAAACATATATATTTTTATAAATATTAAATTATAATAAAGGAACAAAAAATTATTTTATTTATAAATAAGAGACATTTGATTCTATAAATAAAGAATATTTATTTTGAAAAGGGTATCTTCTTCACCTCTAAATTGAGCAAACGCTACAATATCAATTCAAATGATAAATTTAAATAATGTTTGATTAATGCATCTTCACAATAAATGCACAGGCTTTATAAGAAATCTCACTACATTTCTTAGATAGTATGAAAGAAATATTATTCTTCTACAAAACAGTAGACACTTGGCATTATTAAAAATATATTTTTCATTAGGGAAACAATTAAAGATGAATTAGAAATAAATATCTACTAATTATTATATTTATCAAAAGTTTGCCTACATATAACTCTCAGAATAAGTTCATTTTCTTTATGTTGCCATGGTGTTATAGTTTACCTTTCAAATAATATATATTTTTTGTGTAACATCTTTTTTACTGAGTACAAAGGAAAAATGAACTCACTACACAAATGTAAATTATGTAAGAAGGTATAAAACAGTATTTTCTAAAAAAGAATAATTTGTCCACCCAGAAGAAAAAAGATATGTCACACTTTTATATCTAAGTTTTATAAGATTTGGATTTTTTTATTACTAATTGTTCTTATCTGTTATGCATCATTAAGTATCCCTCAGTCCTATATATCCTTCTATGAGTGTATAATGATATGATCAGATGCTTGAATTTTTTCTTCTTCTTTTTTTTTTTTTTTTGCAGTTTTCAGCTGGGACTAGGTTTGAACCCAACACCTCCGGTATATGGGGCCAGTGCCCTACTCCGTTGAGCTACAGGTGCTGCCCAGATGCTTGACTTTTTATGTTATGTAATATTAATGTAAAACTTTGTTGTGTGTTTTTTCTACAGAAACATGTTCTGAATCATATTCTTGCCCAATTCTTATAAAAGTTAGCTGCAATTTTAAATTATTTTAAATGATAATACATAGAATGATTAACAACTACCAGAATATTTGTTTCTTCTAACAAAATGTGGTCAAGGAAACCAATCTGTTACCTTTATTTTCACAGGCCATCCACTGAATAGGTCCTCTGTCATAATTATGTTGACCAACGGAAAACGTGAATACACGCACCTGGATGAATCCAAAAATAGGACTAGGTTAGGCTGAATATAACTTAGAGGAATGGCAAATCAAAACAGCCAAAGTTTTAAAAAAGCATGTTTATCAGTTAATTAATATGACAAGAAGAATTGAGGCAGTAAAGAATTCAGAAAGCTTCAGAAGGAACTAACAGGACCTACTCTAAACATGGATTCCAGTTGCTAAATTTAAAATTAGCACTTGGGTATCATGTACCATATCCTGATCCTGCTGGAGCATGACTAAGGTTTCATGAGTAAAAAATGCAGCCTTTAGGTCCAACCTAAGTTCACCTGTCTCACCTGGTGAAAATACAGCCACACATCAAGTCCTGCATAAAACATATATATTTCTCTATTCCATAGTATATGGAGATAAAAATACATATATACCTTCAGTTTATTAGGGTTATTAAAGTTAGTAATGGTTCTGCTACTTTCATACAATGGAAATATTTAGGACACATACATGCTACTATGATGTTAGTACATTACTTATTTTCTATAAAAGATGGCTGGCATCTCTATCTATCTATATCTATATTGACACATAGGCATAAATAGGCATCTATATCTAGATATGATACAGATATTCTATGCTCCTAGATGTTTAAAGACAATCAAAATATTGACTGTTTCTAACATGCTATAAGTATGCAAATATTTTAAAATTCAACTGAGAATTTTAAAATTATAGCAATTCAAATATTTATTGAAAGCCATGAAGTTAAATAACAGTATTAAAGTATAGAATATAAATTTCATAATGTCAACAAATAACTAACAAGACAGCTATGTTACATGTACTGAGTTTTTTACTAATTCAGTTATCTAAGCAATTCAATATTTGAAGTTCAACATTGTAGCTATTTCTAAAGATAGACAAGCAGAAAATCACTTTTCCATGAGTTAAAATTCTTATCTGAATTATGTTAACAGTTTTTCCCTTATTCATGTTGATTAATTGAATTGACTCTTTTTGAGACAGAGTCTTACTCTGTCACCATGGCTAGAGTGCAGTGGCATCATCAGCTTACTGCAACCTCCCTCCTCAGCCTCCCAAGTAGCTGGGACCACAGGTGTATGCCACCACACTCAGCTATTATACATTTTCTCTCTACTTTTACTAGAAAAGGACTCACTCTTGCTCATACTGGTCTTGAAGTCTTGACCTCAAGTGATCATCCTGCCTCAGCTTCCTAGAGTGCTAGGATTACAGGGATGAGCCCTTGTGCCCGGCACTGAATTGATATTTTATAACTATTTTCTCTCTTAACTCTTGCACAAAATTCCAGCATACAGACCTTGATGATTTCACTTCTGTTCTGTGGTTCTGTGTTCTTTCACTGGGCTTAGCCACACAGATTATATTATAACAATCCCTGAGTCCAGACTATACATCAGGGATGCCGCTGTTTGACATGTAAGGTTTTATGTGAGCCACCCTTAATTTACCCAAGTTTGCCTTAGTTAGTTACATTACAGGTTATTTGGTGAACATATCTGAGTTTTAAATACTTCAACTCATAAGGACAAATGAGTGGTTCTAAGTTAATGATTGAACTTTTTTCTCCTCTCTCCCTCTCTCCTTCACTCTATCTACCTAGCTAACCTCTTATCTGCAGGAATTCCCACTCAAAATATAACAGTTTAATTTTCTTTAATTCTTCAACTGGGTCGTTTTGGGGTCTGCCTGTATTTTTCAATATAGTGTTAAGATTGCATTATAACTGAGGTGCCTCCTAAAAAGAAATATTTTTATAAGCAGACCACCCTAACTGATAATTCAATTTAACTGCCATACCTTAAACAGTCATCACATGAATCTAGGTCAGGAAAAAAATCCAGATACTTCAGAAAGCATATGGGGATCTTCTTCATAACTAATACTTAAACATGTGCTTCAAATTTTCCAATTAAGGCACAGCTTTGTCTAGGAGTTCCTGTTATTACGCAGTATTCTAGTAAAATATCTTTCATTAAATACCTCTCAGTAAAAAGAAATGAATGAATTATTATATATGTGTCTCTAGAAGGCAAGCATTTCTAATAGCATAGAAGCTACATGGAGACCTAAACTGTATGACTATTTTGACTGATGTTACAATTGAAATAGCTCAAATAAACACTTAGCTCACACAAAAAGGAAGAAAACCACACGCAATAGTTAAAAAGCTCTTGCTTTATATTTGTTTCACCACAAAAGTTTCGCCTAATTCCCATGTGTTTCCCCACATGGAGTCCTCGGAGGTTGTCAAAATTAAAGACTTTGAGGTCAGGACTGATTGTGGAAGTATACATTCTGTCACATTTAATTACCATTTGTTAGACAAGCTAAATTTTTTTCGCCTTTCTCTGTTCTTTTTCTCAGCTAGATTCTTGGCCACTTAAATGTAAGCTGCATTAACTGACTGAATCATTCTCATATTATAAATGTGTAATTTATTCCCTTTATGTCCATTTTCATTAGCTTTACTCTAGAGATTTTTAAAAACATTATTTCTTGAAATTTTCTTCTCACTAGTTACTAAAATGTAAAAATTACATTTGCAATGTCCTTTTTATAATTTATGCACCTGCCATACCATTACAATATTTAATAAACTTTAAGATGCTTATTTTCCTCTTGATGTGTTTACAAAACACACAGGCACTAAGTATTGATGATTTTGTAGGTTATCTAGATTATTTTAGAATGTTCTGATATGGGCCACGTGTGGTGGTTCATGCCTATAATTTTAGCACTCTGAGAGCCTGAAGAGTGTGAATTGCTTGAGCTCAGGAGTTTGAGACCAGCCCAAGCAGGAAAAGAACCAATCTCTAAAAATAGCCAATCATTACGGTGGGGCCTGTAGTCCCCGCTACTTGGGAGGCTGAGACCAGTGAATCACTTTAGCCCAAGAGTTTGAGGTTGCTGTGAGCTGTGACATCAAAGCACTCTACAGAGGTTGAAAAAGTGATACCTGCTTCATAACAAAACAAACCAACCCAACAAAAACAAACAAAAAAACAAAGAATTTTCTGATATGAGTTTATATGTATATAAATATATATATTTGGTAGAGAAAAAAATTTTATATAGGTCATTCAAAATTTAGTGACTTATATTACAAACTACTACATCTTTTATAATACCTTACACTACTTCTTTTATGACAGTGAAAAATCATTATAAAAATATTTCATTCCTACATGACACAAATGTGCTGAATTCTGCTTTACACATTTTAGCTAATTATGTAATGAGAAGGTTACCTTTGTGGATTTCATAAATGATCAAATGACTCATTTTAAAGTGCATATTCATAATTAATTGATGAAATTTAAAAAAAAAATTTGCATACACTAACTTCCCCCTTGCAAATGTAGATGGCTTCATTGCATACTGTATTACTGCCACCCTGTGGGACAGTCAATGAACTAAAATTCCAGATTCCCAATCCACAGAGATGGTTACTAATATCCCCTTCCTGTGATGGTTTGCACTTCTTAAAACTTAAGAGTTCTTGTCTAGCCATATTTTTGTAGAAATGGAAAAAGAAAGCAATTCCTTGAAATACGCACAGCTTAAATTATATTCTCAAAGATGTATATTTGTACTGTTGTATTTATTGGTATATTTGCATTGTCACTCATAAAAACAATTAGAATGACATGCAAAAAAACTTGGAATATATAATTGGCAGTCTCACAAGCTAAACATTTCACCTAAACTCTCACGCAAATTACTTACATTAGATTATGGCTATATCAAGGCAGAGTCAATTTTACGGAAGAAAAATTCCTTTATTCATGCCTAATAGTATACGTACGAGTGTGCTATCATGTAACAAATGCGTGCTGAAATGTTTCTGTTCTGAGTAAAGGTTCCTAGAAATGTTCGCTAATGTTTCTCAATGAATGTGTACGCTTTTGGAAGGCCCTGATTTCAGAATGTTTGCCTTATGAAATTTTTATCCTAGAGTCACATATGAGAAAATATTTTCACAATGCTGAAACTCAAGTCTTTGACAGAAATAATGTGGGAATCTAGTATGAATAAATGTTGGAATGGTCTTAAAAAGGTCCCCGATTGTACAATTCAGAATCTATTGTAGTATCTTATTCATAGGTGAAAGTAAATATTACATGAAAAACGAGTGAATAGACAAATGAGTGATCTTTACTTTTTACCAGAGGAATCTAAACTAAGCTCTGGTGTCCTCAAAATAGAAATTGGTTTGTTACATTAGGTGAGGAGAGCAGAGAAACTAGGCTGGTCTTGTATTTTGTTATTTGGCTGTTTCACTATACCAGTATCACAATAAATTCTTAATTTTTTAATTTAATATTATGCAGACATGCTTACTCAAGTTACACAAATTTTTTAAGCAGAATAAAGTATACTTAATGATCATTATTTATATAGTGTACTATTCCAAAAATAAAAAGAAATATTTAATTATTGATATGTTTAATTATACAAGCATATTAATCAATGCAATAGTAATTTCAGAAGCAGATGTACTAAAATTACACTTAAAAGTAGGTTTCATTATAAGTTATAAAGTTATATAATTTTACTTTAGTTTGTTTCAAAAACTAACTTTTCTCTGACCAGAATACTCTAATTCCAATAATTCAAAGTTGATATCACCAGCCTGGCTTACTTGATTAGAGAAAACTTTTAATTAATAGGCAATGTGGTTATTTAAAATGCATTACTGTTTTACTGATTTGTTCTTTATAATACACAACTGATTTGCAGTTTTATGCCACAGTTCTGACTTCCGCTAATCTGTTTTTTATTTTGTTTCATTTTGTTGTTGTTGAAGACCAAAATACTTGTCTTCAATTAAGAGTTTTTCCAAAGCCACGGGGTCAACCTATTTTAAAAAGCCTACAAATTTGATTCCCAGCAGAACTCAGTTACTGGAAACTGTCACCTCAACAATTATCAGTTACTCAGAGTTCAAGTTTAATTTACAATAGGCAAATCTCCAAAGAATAATG